CGGCCGAACTAAACCGCCGCCAGCAGCAGCAGCCCCCCGGCCGCCCGGCCACGAAGCCTGAAGCCACCCAAGTGGAAGCTGGCCGGAGCCGTCTACTTTGGTGCGGCCCCCGCCCCCCGCCTCGTCGCCGGCCGCCGCCTCCGGCCGCCTCCGCCTCCGGAGCCCGCTGAAGAAGAGCCAGATGTCGCTCCCCTGCCGTTGTTTATGTCCCTGCGAACCCGCCGCGGGGCGGCGCGGGGCGACGTGCAGTGTGTGTTCAGGAAGCAGGGTGGAGCGGGAGCTGAAATCTTGAAGGGAGCGCCTGACGAATATCAAATACGTCGGGTGCCCGCCAGACGGGCGGGGTGGGGGAAGGGAGGTACCGGCGAGCCGCATACGGCAGCAGGCAGCAGGGTGTAGTCTCATTCCGAACGGGCCCCCTCTCCGTCTCTCTCGCACCCGCGCGGGACGAGCCACGCGTGCGAGAGAGACAGAGCGACGGCTGGCGCTGCCGGGTTCCCGTCCCGCGTCCGGCCAGGAGGGCGCCGGGAAGGCAGGCCACCCGGCGCGGAGCCCTGCGCGGCGGGCTGGCCTACCCGGCGGTCGGCGGGCGCCGTGGCGGCGGCGCGGCGGCGCGCGTCACACCGCAGCGGCCTCTCTCTCTCTCACTCGCGTGGGTGCGAGAGAGACAGACCGACGACCCCCTCGCTCGTCGGAATCAGTCCGCGGTCTGCGCGAGGAGGCACGTTCGCGTTCTCGCCGCGCGTGCGGTTGGCGGAGCCATGGCGGAGCCCTGCAGACTGATTCCGCACTGTCGCTGTCTCTCTCGCACCGTCACGGAGCGCCCCGTGAGTGCGAGAGAGACGGAGCGGTGCGTGCGCAGTCACTTCACTCGGCGCGTGCTGCGCGTGCTGCGCGTGCGTCCCCCAGTCTGCCAGTGGAGGCGACGTGGACGCGACGCCGCCACGCCCTCGCATCCACTCCACGCGAAACGACGCCGAGTGAAATAGGGCGGAGGGAAGCGAATAATCGTGTGGCGTGACGAGGAAATAAAAGAGGAAGAAAGGGACAAAAAATGGAAAAGGAGTGCGGAAGAGAGGAGAAAAGTGGTCTCGCTTGCTCGCCCCGGTGGCCGTGATAAGGCTAGTGAAATGCGTGCGGCCACCGGGTCAGGCGACGCGGCAGAGAGAGAGAGAGAGAGAGAGAGAGAGAGAGAGAGAGAGAGAGAGAGAGAGAGAGAGAGAGAGAGAGAGAAAGGCGCTTCATAAATCTTGCGGCCTTAGAGTGTTGGATCAGCTGTCAAAACCCCACGCAAGACAAATTGCGTCTTTTCGGGGTGACGGTGCGAGGGAGAGGGAGGGGGGGCTCATCAGGCAGCAAAGGGCTGTGATTGGTTACGAGCAACAAAGACGCCGTGGGAGTGGGAAAAAGAAAAAAGAAGAAACGGGGAAAATGGAAAGGGGGGGGGGCATGGTGACACCGCGACAGTTGGCCGCTGTGTGCTGCTCGCCGGGGCTGGCAGCGCTGGCGGCACGCTGAGCCGTGGCGAGCCGAGCAGTTGGCTGCTGTGTGCCTTTGGCTGTGCTTTGGCTGTGCTTTGGCTGCGCCACTCTCTGAACTGTTTCAATGCGTGGTCTGGTCTGATGGCAATAGCAATGTCGGCGGCATGTGTGCAGCCAACTGCGGGGCAGACACAGCTCCAAGAACGCCTCCCGCACCGCCCCACCCCACCCCGCCCGGCCGCGCCGCGCCGCCACGCCCCATCGCTCCGCGAGATTGACTCACAGGGGCTCAGATGTGAGGCCTGTACACACAACACCACCCGGGGGGAGGGGCGCCCCAGTGGGGATGCAAAGACACTCGCTAGGACGGACGGGCGCGCCCCTTCGCGCAGCCCCGCGCGGCCCCGCGTCGCGCGCTACATGCCGAACTTGATTGATTTTAAACTCGATCCGTCTCTGTCGCCCCCAAAGGGGCCCCACCACGCCCCACCACGCCCCACCACGCCTCCCCGCGCGCTACACGCTCCGCGGCGTGCGAGAGAGACAGAGCGAGGACTGGCCCGGAAACAAGTTCGGTGGCCGCTGCTTCCAGGGGCGCATTTTCAGAAGTCTCGCTTCGACGCGGGCCCCTCAGCCAGCCAGCTAGCCAGCCAGTCGGCCGCCTCGACACCCTTCAGCGGCGCTGGGGGGCGACTCGGCCGTAACATTACCATATTTATTGCTAAGCGTTCGAGATCCGAACACATTGACCGCGTTGAGCGGGGCGGGGCGTGGCGGGGCGTTGCCGACGACAGTCCGTGTTCCCACACGGTCGGTCGTCCCCGCGAGAGAAATAACGCGACGCGCTTCCCGGCGACACTTGCAGCTTTATCGCGCCGCTAAACTCGGCCTCGCTGCCTCGCTGTGTCGCTCGCTGGAGCTGGAGGATCGACTCGGCGCCCGATGGCTCCATTTAATGATTCCACGTGATAGTCCTGCCGCTGTCAATCTTGCCGCTCGCGCACAGTGGGCCAGAGGACAGGCGGCCAAAACTCGAGACGCGTTTTGTGCTCCGGAGTCGCCAAACAGGACTCGAACCGTGCGTGTGGCCCGACCAATGGCCTGCTCTCCGAACGAGGAAAACATTGGTGGGGTCACACGTTCGGTTCGAGTACCATTCAGCGACTCTGGAGCTCAAAACGCGTTTAGAGTCTTGTCCGCCTACACCGGTCTTCTGGCCCACTGTGGGGCGCTCCCCCGCAAAGTGCAGCGAGACTGGGCGGCAGGCCGATTCCGCGGAGTCGTGGCGTCGCTCTGTCTCTGTCGCACTCGCGGGGCGTCCGCCCGCAGTGGCCCTGAGTGGGCCTGAGTGGGCGGGGGTGCGAGAGAGACAGCGGCGCGGCCGTCCCCGTCGGCCCGGCGGGGCGGCGCGGCCCGGAGCTGTACTGCAGTGGGACGTGCCGCGTCCGACTGGCCGACGCTGCCGACGCTGCCGACGCGACGCGCCCCTTTGGCCGCCACTCCGCCACTCCGGTCGGCACGTCGGCCAATCACAACCCCTCCCCTCCCCCCTCCCCTCCCCCCAAACCGCAGCGTGACCCGAAACCTTTATCATTTCCATTATCGCCGAGCAAAATGGGGTCCGAGGACCTCTAATAGAGTTGGACTGCCGCCGTGCCGCGCCTGACCTCGTCGGCCTGCTAGAGGGGGGGGGGACAAAAAGCGCGTCCTCGCTCTGTTTCTGTGACACCCCTATGGGACGCACCATGAGTGCGAGAGAGACAGTGACAAAAGCGCTCTTCGGACTTGGCCCATTGCTGTTTCATTGATGTTTTCTGTTCCTCTCCAGATCACCGCCGTCGCCGCTGCAGCCCTGCGCCGCCTCGCCGCCACACGACGCGAAGCTTGATTTTGATTGTTGCTCAGAAAGCCGTCATGTTAAATGGCTTTCTAGTAATAATCAAAACCAAGGAGCGTTGCTCGTCGAATCAGCCGCAGCTGCGCCGAGGCAGCATGCTCACGCCACGTCCAGGCTGCCACAGATCGCCGGGACTTGTGTACATGATGTTTATTGCTATTCTGCTGTACATTGTTTCGAAATAAAACTGCTGAACAGTATTGGAGTCGAGGCTTATTATTCGTGTTTCCACACCCTGAGTCCTTGTTGAAAATCTTTTCGAGATGACAAAACCCCCTTCGATAAACATGCTACGGGCCTAAGAAAAAGATGTCCGCTGCCCCATGTTCTTTGACACATTCGCTCCGATGCGAAAGTTGATTTAAGTTCTGGTGCGGCGGGGCCGGGCGGGACGTACGCGAGGGCGTACGTGGGGTCCAAGGCTGAACGTGGACCGAGGCCCTGTCCGGCCAGGCACCCTCAAAATCTGTGACCCGACTATTGCGCTATCACGCTCTATTACACCTCAAAATAATCGGGATTTAGCTAAAAACACCCCCGAAATAAAAATTGGAGAATTTCCACTGGCGAAAATGGTATAGAACATGGACGAACATAATCTGTTCGTCCGCCTAGTGCCGCGTTCGACCATGGAGTAAGGTCGAACGATTTGCCTTGGCCCTCGTTCGGCCATGCTGTGAGGTCGAAGCAGTTTGTTCGACCGGAGATGGACTGTGGTAGAAGACTGTTCGACCGTATGGTTGACGGCTATTACGCTACTCTTAAGCGTGGTATTACAGAGTGACCCGACTATTACGCGACTTCATACCCCCTCGGCCGCGGCAGCCTCTCATAACCGCCGCTGGATCCATCTACCTGCATCATCTGCTCCTTAAAAGACTGCTCCCACCACAAATCGGATGTTCGTGTGTCATACCCGGATCTGCCGACATAAACCACTCCTCTCAGTAAGGACGCACGCCGGGCGGGCCCGGCCCGAAAAGGCATACGATCCATTCGATCATGTGTGGTCCAGTGGCTGTGGACGATGGGTTGCCTACCTTTCCGGCGTATGTTCAAACGATCCCAGTTTTTCGCAACAAAAACACCGTTTATGGCCGAAATGTTCCTCGAAATAGTCACCAGCACCATTTGGGGCAGTTCCAATAATCCCCACCACGAGCAGAGCAGGCTGAGCTTTACCTTTTCTCGTCTTGACAAACAGAGGGGTACCTTTTCGCGCTTTCCGTTTCTGCCAAAAACATAAAATTACTGTCAAACTTCAAGGGTTTCCAAACGAAAATTGGATTTGAAATTTAAACTTCATTCAATTACTTACCATAGAAGTGTATGGTATGCAGGTGGTTCCATGCATATAATTTAGATTCTAAAAATAAAAGAGCCATAAAACGGCATAATGAAACTTCCAACAGGTGTCAGTCTTGGAGGTCGGTACCAACCTCTAAAAGTAAATGTGTACATTTGTTTTGTCTTCAGATTAGCCTGAACCCCGTCTAAAAGTGTAAAATCAATTTAATTTCTTCAAATAAGAATCAAAAATGTAAATTACAACGTTAATTCTCTTGGATTAACGGTTTTGTTGTTTTCTAGGCTGGTTTCTAGGTGTGTTGGTTATGGCAGGTTAGAAGGCCGACGGCCGACGGCGTCTGCTACGCGCTGTCTGCTGGAAAACAAATCAGCATCAGCAGAGGAAGACGCTTTTGGCGCAACACTACAGACTTTTTCCTTCAAGAAAGCCCACACCCCTTGTGTTTGGAAATCGTCCTCTTCCAGATTCAAAATGCTGAACCAAAGTGACTACAGGGCTTACCATGAGCGCATGATTTCGGGCAACAAAGGAACGACAGCCAAGGATGTCATGCTGGTCGTGCTGCCTTCAATCTTGTCGCTGCACATTTTAGCTGGCTTGCAGTCTCATCACTTGGTTCCAAGGACCCTCGGCAAACACAAAATTGCCGCATTCTTTGCCGAATTCTTCGTCGTCATCATGCCTTCTATTTTAAGCTTAACTATTTGTTCGTACAATACTGCCACCATTCCTATGTTTATGTGTTTTGCTGGCCCAGTGCTTGGTCTCAAGTGGAAGATAAGTGAAAACAGAGGAAGATGGTCCCATATTTATGCTGTTTTTTTTAACAGTCGGACATTTAGCAATATATTATCTTTTAAACTACCTGCTAAACCTCGATCCTATATAACAAATTTTCGGGCTATCACCAACATGTTGACTGTATTGGCTATTTTTGCTGTAGATTTTCACATATTTCCTCGACGATTTGCCAAGACTCAAACTTTTGGGTTTGGTGTTATGGATCTCGGTGTTGGATTATTTGTCATAGCAAATGCATTAGTAGCTCCTGAGACAGATAGCTCAAAATCTTTATCAGTACCTGTTTTGAAAACATTTCTTCAGAGCTTACCATTGGTGATTCTTGGTTTTGGAAGGTTAATAATGACTGCACAAGTTGACTACCAAAAGAATGTCACAGAATATGGTGTACATTGGAACTTCTTCTTTACGCTGGCATTTACAAAAGTGGTAAGCTGTATTATTCTCAAATATGTTGATCGCAGCACTTACGCATATGGGCTCATGTTTGTGGGATTAACAGTTACTCATGAAGCAGCATTACAGTTGGGTTTGCAGGACTGGGTCTTCAGCAATGCACCTCGACATGGTATCATTTCAGCTAACCGAGAAGGCATTGCATCAAATATGGGATATGTAGCTCTTTATTTTGGTGGTATTGTATTGGGTCGGGATCTACGTTCTTTTGATACTTTCAGTATGATGGGTAACATGAGCATGTTAGAAAGGCTCCTTTTTGTTAGTATTATCTTCTGGTCTGGTACAGTCGCATGTGAGCACACATTTGGAGTGTCTCGGAGACTTGCTAACATGGGCTACATTCTTTGGGTTTTGGCATTTACATCTACTGTTATTGCATTCTTACTCTTTATTGAAATAATTGTAATCTTGTCTAAAGTAGTGGATGAAAGACGATTTAATAAAAATGTACTTTTTGTGCCCAAAATCTTCGAAGCTATAAATAGGAATGGGCTCCTATTTTTCCTCTTAGGGAATGTTTTAACAGGTATGTTCAACATACTAGTGCGTACTTTTACATTAAATTCTGTCACCAGTTTTGTTGTTATTAATATTTACATGCTAACCAATTGTGCAGCTGTTGCAATCTTACAAGCATGGAATTTCACTCTGAAATTATAACTTACTGAAATTAGAATTTATTTCTCAAATTTACTTTGTAATTGAAGCAATGTCCTCTGACATAAGAGACTAAAACAAGTAGAATGTGTGAAATTTGTTGAGTATGTTAGAAATTCTAATACAGTAAAACAATTCTACAGATGCCAAAGCAGGTCTTCTGCTGTAGTTCCCAGCTGATTAATTTTGAGGAAGCAGTAAATGTAAAATTCAACAAATGTATTCAAACAATCTTGCCAAAGAAAATAAAACAAAATGGAGATAAGTTTGTGATTGTTATTCATACTGTTCTTACTCATCAATCAAAGGCAAACATGAACTTAATAAGAGAGAGTTGAGATTCAAGTCACTGGCTCTCAAAGTACTGAGAACATAAATCACAGGCACCACATTTACTAAGTTGCTTTGATAAAATAGCATATAATATGAAGCATAATGAATGCCAATAATCAAAAATACTGTAAGCACAAAATGTCAGTCTTATTAAACAATTCATACTCTAAATATGATAATGCCCAATTATTTCACAAAAACATGAATTTGAGGCATCCAAGTGCACAAACTATCTGCACACATTCAGCACTTTCAACCCATAGCAACAATGTAGTGAATTTTAACAGATCTAGCATATCACATACAATTATTAATCTCAATCAAAATATAAATAATAACCAGGCAACCTTGAAGTTTCCCTGTTTCCACCATGGAGCCTGAAAGCATGCTTTCCCATCAATGTATTTTTTTCCCCTTTCTGTTTCTGAAAGAGCAATCAGAAAACTCCTAAGCAAAACTAAACCTCACAACAGAAAGAATGAGTCCCAGTCAATTCTGCATTGAAATAAAATTTCATGTAAGGCTACAGCTCAATGTGAGTTGCGGGATGTCCATATTTTAGACTGGTAGATAGAAATTCTTTAAATGCAGGATGTGCCTGAACATGGTCTGTTGCTTTTTTCACAATTGCTTCAAATTCATCCACATCAAAACGGTAATTTGTGAACTTGGCATGAGCTCCCATCTGAGGATGATGACCCTAAAAATAATTCAACATGTATCAAAAATAATAAACTGAACACTGCTACCCACATTGAGGAGAGTATTCACTTACTTCATCCTCCTGGTGGACTTTTTCTGAATCTTCCCATGTCAAGTACTTGACACCTCTCAAGCGTGCCAAATCCATGTAGCAATTTTCATCCTCACAGTTATATCTGTCAAAGAATAGTTTAAGGACAAAGATGAAGATATGTGATCAGTTTTAAAATCAAATTGGAATACTTTAACCTTAACTCACAACTCAAATACAGCAGCCCAATCAGGAAGAAACAATAGATGTGTTAACCCTGATCCATGCATTCCAATGAAAACATCACTGTTGTGTGTCAGCTCAAGTTGCTCAGAGAATGGCATTTGATGAGAGTAGTACACCTGAAATTAAACATACGATCCACCTCACTTTTACTAGAGAAACAAGGAATTTGTTTTGATTTTAAGGATAATCATCATACCCTTTGTACTTCATAGTTTGAATTTTCTTCAAGCCTTGTAACAAGTTCATCTTCATTAAGAATGCGACGGTACTTAGTTTGACGAGAAAGCAATGTAATTCGTATTTTGTCATCCCTCCGTTTGAATTGTGGGATTTTCATGCGGTGGAGAATGTGTTTTGAAAAGGCATGAAACAACCCACTTTTTTCACAACCATGGACCTACAAAATATTTGAAATGTTAAGTTTAATCAAAGTATACAACACATTAGAATTAAGAACCATTAGTACTTTAAGTTGAAAAACACTTACAACAGGGGTGTTATAGAAAAGTCCAAAAATCATCCTTGGCAAGAGGGGGAAGACAACATTGCGAAAACAAACAGTTTCTCCTCTAAAAGTCTTTAGGTCCCACACTGGGTGCTTTGTGAAAGTTTCCATAACAGGAGCAAAGTTTGAAAGGTATGAATAACTCTCCCAAATCAGGATGTGGACATCACGGGAAAACATCTCAGGATGGGAACCATTTAAATGCAGTGCAGCATAAAGGTTGAAAAAATCACAGAAATGGTGATACATGTTAACTGCTAAACAGGAAACAAGGAAAGGTAATTCACTGTGAGAAATAAATAACAAACAAGAAGTAAGTAGAGAAGAAATGCTTATCTCCAATGATAAAATTTTAGAGAGAAATCTAAAGGGATGTCTCACTTGCATCAATCTTGAGAATGAATGTAGGCTTCTCAATAATTACATCGCATTCATTATTTTCTACTGGCCTATGTGGCATCTCAACAAAATTTCGTAGCTCAGGTCCCCATGATTGCAATGCACTTAAATGATCACATTGATCTTGAAGACGTTTCTTGTGTAACCTGAGGGAGAAAGGAATTTTTTGTTTCGTTTAAAATGGTGTTTCAAACATTGAATAATGCGCCAGTCTTCAAACGGTGACTTACTTGCAATATCCCCCAACCTGGCCGTTTTTAAGGACATCCATAGCATATCGTATAGGTTCTTTCCTATGAATCAGGTCAGTGAAATTAAACATAATATTTCTACCTCTGCAAAACCGCAAGTGATCGGCACATTCAAGCGAAGAGTCATCCTTAAAAGAATGGAAAAAAAGAGAAAATTGGCATACAAAAAATCTAAATCTAACCTGAAACTAAAATTTTCAAAGAATCAATGACTCACTTTGAAAAGTGGTTCGCACATTATTTTCATTTCTCGATTCCTTTCTTTGATGTATCCAAAATCAGCTTGGTTATTGAAACGTTGAACATGTTCTTCACTTGATTTTGCCCAACCCTTGTAATCACCACTACACACAGGAATTGAATATGCTTTTGATTTTGGACAGATGTCCTCATATCCCCAACATTTCTTTTCCTTAGCAATATCCTGTAAAATAAAAATATTGTAATACATAATAATACTGGATCAAGGAAGCTCAACATACCGCCAACTTACCCTATATGGGCAGTCTTCATCATTTGCACATTGTTCTGCTAGATCGGGGAAGTTGTTAAAATAGAATGGCATATGCTCTGTGGGAATGTCAACATCCGAAAAATTTACAGACTTTTCCCCAGTACAAACAACGGTCAGACATGTAATGGGAACAACTAAACTCCACAGCAAATGCATTTCCTGCAAATTATAAGTAATAACACTAGAGAATGAAATTTTACTTTCAAGTCATGACAAGGACCAAAAGATTAATTTCTATTTAGTTCCTTGTTCAGAGCGCATACATGAGGAGCCTCTAACCTACGTTTATTGAGTATTACATGAACAGGAGCACACCTGTGGATTGTCACTCAAAATTCTTCTAGTGCACAGAACAGGCCGGACATACCGGTCAGGTTTCACGGTCATACAGGTATGAACCACTCAGAATAACTGCTCTTTAATCATAAATTACGATATATTATAAATCACATTAAACTTAATATTTACAAACATTCATGTTGCTAGGGACTTGATGCTTTATTCGCAGGTAAAGTTGGAGAAAAGGGGTGGTGGGGGTGAAGGAACAGTTATTCGCAGGAATACGGCCCGAATCGACAGAAACCGCCGGTTAAAAGACGACACGATTAACAAAGATGTCTTCTGAAAGCTCTTATCCTTCCAGCCAGCCAGACGCCCTCCGAAGCGCTTTCGCCTCCTCCTGTCATTGCGTTCGTCACACGCACACGCACACGTCAGTCACACAAACACGTCATCAATCTCTGACGTCATAGCTTTCTGCTGAAGCTAGCGCTTGAAGTGAAGTGGTGACGCATCGCGTGCGTCCGTGTCGTGTCGTGTAGGCTGCTGGGCGTTACTCCCGTCACCCGCACTGCAACTCAACTCCAATTTCTCGCAGGCTATCTGGATTATCTCTGGTGAGTGCTGACTGTCAAGTTGTGCCGTTGGTCCGAACCGCATCACTTGCCCCGGACTAGTCTAGCTGAGAAGCCGCAGGTAACCGTTCCATTCCCTGGTTTTAGTGGAGTCTTCGTGAGTGCCGCTTTCACCAGTTGTGAAATATTTTTTCTGGCTGTTCAGTCTACTGTTCACCATTTGTTCATATGCTTGCTTGAATGAGTCTTGACTTTGCTGCCAAGTGGTTTGTGGGCTGTAGGTCATGTTTTGACATTGGGTCATTTTTTGTTTCAGAGAGGACCAAAGCAAGAGGCCTAACGTTAACCCTCAACAACAAACAATCACCATGAGCTACCCAGGATACCCATCACAGGGCTACGTAAGTAGATACAGACAAGTGTATTGTTGGTTTGTTGCACTCCGTGTCGTAACATGAATGGAGTGCTTTGTACAGGCATTCTTGTGAATTGAGGCTGCTTTGGGTGCTGTTTAAATGTTACAATCTCTGAATTTTGTTTTGTAAAATTATCAGTAGTTTTCTGAAGTGTGGGATTGGACTTGCTGGCTATACATTGGATTCTTCGTGGACTGTCACTTTAAGGTTTTAGATATTTAGTAGGCATTTGAAGTAGTGCTTATGTGTGGTTGAATGATTAACGCATGTCCATTTATAAGTGTGTTCTTAGGCTTATACTGGGAACCCTTCTAAAGTGAATGAGTTAAGATTGCCAATGTCTTTTCTCTGTTCTGTTAAAGGGTGGCGCAGGGCCTTCGTACCCTCCGTACCCCAACTCTCACCCCTACCCCCCGCCTCAGCACGCTACTACAAACTTGAGCTACCCTGGTATTGGCTTCCAGGCACCACAGTCTCCTTATCCATCACAAGGTGCCATGCCCCAGCCAGGTGGCTATCCTTCTCAAATGCCTTACCCACCTGCTGGGCCTCAGGCTGCAGCTCCTCCTTCCTATCCGCCTTATCAACCTCAGCCTCCTCCCACTGTCAGTCCATATGGCTCTGCCACTCCGTACCCACTCTCAAGTAATCAGCATGCTCCAACCCCCAGCCCGTATCCCCCTGCCCCCAGTTCCTACCATTCCACTCCTAGTCCCTATCCACCAGCAGCTTCGAATTACCAACCGCCCATCCCCCAAGCTTCGATGCATGGCAGTCCTTACGCTCACTCCCAACCAGCAAACATGTACCCTTCTGGGCCCAGTTCTCACAGCTTGACAGTCAGAAAGGTAAGAATACCTTTCAAATTGCCAATCCCACGCATTCCAATTTCATCTTGCTGTATCTGTCCAAATATTTTTCATGTTGTGCCGCTTTACATTTAGAGAAATGGCTAGTCTCCTTGTAGTTCTATTAAGTTCATGCTTTTGTGGTGAGAAGAAAATTCAGAGATGGGTCATTCACCACTTCCATACATTTTATTTATTAAAATTATAAGTTTTGCTGAGGCTTTTCTTTCCTTACAGGGTAACCCCACCGTGCACCCTGTCCAACCATTTGACCCACGATCAGATGCTGAAGTGTTGCGCAAAGCTATGAAGGGATTTGGCACGGATGAGAAGGCCATCATAAATGTTCTTGCTCGCAGAAGTAATACACAGAGGCAGGAGATTTTACTGCAATTTAAGACTTTGTATGGGAAGGTAAGCAATCATTAGTTATCTTGAAATTCCACTTTAATAGCCTGCCCTTTCAGTGCAATTGTTTTTTCCTTCAGGATTTGATTTCCAATCTGAAAAGTGAACTAAGCGGCAAGTTTGAGGACTTGGTTATTGCATTGATGAAACCTCACTATGAATTCATGGCAAAAGAGATACATGATGCCCTGGCAGGCATTGGTACTGATGAAGAAACTGTTATTGAAGTTGTCTGCTCGGCTACTAATGGAGAGATTCATGCTATAAAATCAGTTTATCAGAACAGTATGTATAAACTACTATACAAAACGTATGAGCTTAATTGTGGCTTGTGTTAATGTCTTCTCTTTTCCATTATCAGTGTATGGCAGAAGCTTGGAAGGAGACCTGAAAGGAGACACATCTGGCAATTTCAAGCGACTCATGGTTTCCTTGTGCATGGTTAGTATCATAAATGTAGTTGTCAAAAAACTTAGCTTAACTGCTGGGCATTGTCTCATTTTTTTTTTTTTTGTTGATACTTTAAGGGAAATCGCAGTGAAGACTATAATGTGGACCCTGCTGCTGCTCAGGCTGATGCACAGGCATTGTTGCGTGCAGGTGTGTAGCCCAGGCACTCCATTTATTTTTAAACTGTGTGCTGGATTATTTTTTTCAACCTCTAAAGGTTTGTTTTGATTTTAGGTGAACTCAGAGCTGGAACTGATGAATCAGCTTTCAATGCTGTGATATGCCAACGCAGCTACCCTCAGTTGCAGGCTGTTATGCAGGAGTACCAGCGTATCACTGGGCATAGCCTTCTGAAGGCTGTCAAGCACGAGTTTTCAGGTGACATTGAAGAAGGACTCATGACTATCTGTAAGTGCTATTTAACTGATTTTCTGCTTGCTGAAGTTATGTTCGAATTATTAATTTAAATTATTATTATTATTATTCCAGTAAAATGTGTGGAAAATCGTCCTGCATACTTTGCTGAGCGCTTGTACAAGAGTATGAAGGGTTTGGGTACAGACGATCGATCGCTAATTCGATTGGTGGTCAGCCGGTGTGAAGTTGACATGGGTGATATCAAGACAGCATTCGAAGCAGCCTACGGCAAGACACTTGCAAGTTTTATTTCAGTAAGTTCTCATTTCTACCTGGTCAAATTTTTTTCTTATCTTATTGTGTTTTGTTATCTAATCACCATGTTTTGTTTTTTTTTCTCCTTTATTCCCATTATCCAGGGAGATTGTTCAGGACACTATGAAAAGTGTCTACTGGCTCTCATCGGTGAATACTAAATATTGACCATTTCCATTCTTTAAGGATATCTTTTTTCTCTCTTTTTAAAAATTTAAATTAGGCTTTCCTTTATTGACTCAAATTTACCCTACTTTGAATTTGTTAAACTTCATGTGTGACATGAATCTCTATGGTCTTTTCTGACAGTGCTGATAAATGGTATTTGAGAGAGAAATTTTTGTGAGCAAAATTGTTTGTGAGTCTGTACAGAGCTTATAAAATCCTATTCTAAGTACAAGTTTTTAAAAACTGTATATTTTGAAACCTGTTTTGCTTGTGAAAAACATTGTGATTTAATTGCCAAATTTTCCTGTTGAACTGTCAGCAATTTTCCAATAAGTTGAATACTAAGTTGAATAGCTCTTGCCTGAAGTTTTAACCATAAACAGTGCATCTTAGCCAGTCTTTTAAAAGTGGTTATAGCCATTTTACATTGGGGATTTGTTTTCTTTGCACTTTTTGCTATACTGCTTTTTTATAGCAGTGTGGGCAGAAATCCTTGTAGGTATTGCAGGGACCATTGCACTGTTTTCCTTTGCACTTTCAGGTGTAGTGTAATTCCTTGTTGTCTATGAGTAACCAGTAGTATTAATAATTCAGATACTAAATTTAATTGTAGTTTGGAGTTCTGTCTGTCTGCTTTTGACAACTACCTAATGTGTATTGTAAGTTGATCTATGAGCTAAGAGGTTTGGATTTTTTAACTTTTGCACTTTCAGCTGGGATTGAAAGCTTCATCAGTTTTTAAAATTGAGTGTGATAACTTTTTATGTCTGGTTGATCCTACATGTGTTGGAACTAGTATTGGAACGAAGTACAATTGAGGTTTTTAGATAGAAGAGATTTTTCCCTTTGTCTTGTCATTTTTCCATTTTCATTGATCTGTGATGTTTGAAACATGTGTGCCTTTGTAATTGGGTATATATTTCTAAGTTAATTTAAAAATATGAACAAAACAATTTTTTTCTGTTTGAACGAGTGGACAGTACCTTGTGATATCAAAACATTTTGCATTTGAAATTGTTTTGGACGATTGATTTCACCATCAGCTCTCATGTGCCTCAGGTCAGTGCTGTTATGCAAGTTTTTCTAAAATTTATTTTATGAACGTGTTGAACACAGTTAAATTTCAATAAAAGATCGAAAACTATTATCGAGTGTGCGTTAGTAATAATTCCTACCCTGGTATCAGATAGTAACTTCCGTGAAATAGTGCGACAAGAAAGCTATGATTCATGTCTTAACTCTTGAAACATCACTAATCACAGCCGCGACGACGCGACACTAGCAGTGTTCAGCCGTGCTTTGATTGGCTGCGGTACCAGTCGCACCTGGGCTGCCCTGCCAGCAGCACAGCAGGCTGATTACAAACGGCGCTTCGTTTGCGCTTTTGTCGCTCCGCAGTCTCTCTCCCACCTGTACGGTGTGGAGGGGAGGCCCCATGAGTGCGAGAGAGACAGAGCACGTTCGGAATGAGCGTGCAGCTGTCGATATCCAGATGCTTGCCCTATCGGCTATCGGCCGCCACACGCTACGCGACACGCGCCTTGGCTTATCTCCCACTTTGTTTGGAATGCGCGCTACGAGCCAGCAGTCGTGTGGCCTTCCCTTTGCGTTGCGAGGCCGACTCGCCTCAGTCGCGCGCAGCCGTTCCCCGGGGCCCCGGCGCTGAGCCTCTCTAGAAGGACTCTATCGCGTTCTCGCGACACCAGTCTCCAGTTTTACCGTCTTCCCTGTCAATTTACCTCTTTGCCGCGCAAAGTGACGGAAAAAGTGACAGCGCGGTCAGAAACCCAGTGACATCCCTGCGCGCCGAGTGGAAGGCACCCGACGCGAACAGCAGAAAACAGCTGTGCGTGTGTGTGTGAGTGCGTGCGTGTGTTGACGTGCGTGAGTGTGTGGGAGGGAGCCTTGTTGTCGACGGCTGTGCTGTCTGCTGTCGCTGTCTCTGTCTCTGTCTACGGATCTCTGCTTTCTTCTCTCCTGCTGCTCCTGCGGCAGTGCGAGTGCGAATGTCCTGCGTGAGACAGACCTAACAGAATGGACGCGTAAACATGGGGGAGCCAAGTGGCGATGAATGTGAACCTGTGCTATTGAACACGTTCGTAATCAAGAAGCAACGATGCAGGGTCTACTTTCACCGTGGTCTGCTCAAGTGGGAGTCGGAAGCCGATCCTTACAGTAAGTCCTGACAATCTGACCTTGAGGCTGGTTTTAGAATGCAGGGTGCAGCTGTACCCAGGAAATGTTGTCTAAGGCCTTCCCAAACTGCTTCCCACCTGGGTCCGACTTGGAACTGGACCTGGCAGGTTGTTGGAAGGTTAGGGCCTTGAAGTTCCACATTTTTGTTGGGAAAAACCTGCCACTCTTGCCTTGAACTTAAAAAAATGGGCAGTTGTTTTGTTTGATTGGCTTCTGGATTTAGGTCCTCTCAGTAGTTTTTTGCTTTCATGGTTTTTTTAGTGAATGACGAAGCCAAATATCCTCTCGTTTTATTGTACTTAGTCTAATTCACATGTTAACTTGTATGTTTATTTTTTTGTTTTTGTACAGTTCGTGTGTCATTACCTTCGAAGAATGTTGTTGGTGTGGAATACGAACACCCCAGTGAGCTTTCTGCTTACACCAACGAAACTGTTTGTCAGGGAGAAAGTCCAGGTACTACAAGTTAATTAAGGAATCTTGTTATGTTTTGAACCTTTGTTTTTGTTCCTAATCTTGGTCTGTTGTTAGATGAGCATATCAGCTTCACTCTCCACTATGTGGTTCGATCGAAACAGCATAAATTGCGGCCCAGCAAAGTAACACTTACTCATAGCGACCCCAGACAAGTAGCATTATGGGTTAAAACCATAAGAAGCTTCATCAAAGGTGAGTCTTGCATGCAACTTTCTCTTTCAATACTCACTGTCAAAATCCTCTCTATGAGACAATTTTATTTTACAGATTTAACTTATCGTCCGAAGAGTCTGCTACTATTTGTTAATCCTTATGGAGGCAAAAAAAGAGGACAAAAAATTTATGAGAAGAATGTTAAACCTCTACTTGCCAGAGCAGGCATTGAAGCAAGAGTTGTTATTACACAGCATCAAAACCATGCTCATGAGACTATTCTGTCATGTTCATTTGAGGGCATTGATGGAATAGTATGCATTGGTGGTGATGGAACTTTGGCAGAGGTTCGTGCAAGCAACTATTTTCTCCTGAAGTTCCGGCACATTTGTAAAATCCATCCGAAACCCTTCTTTAAAACACATTCTAAATTTTCTGTTTCCCCCCTACAGGTGTTGAATGCTTTGGTACTGCGTACTGCAAAAGAGAAAGGTATTGATACAGACAACCCCAATGCAGAACTCCCACAACCATCTATCTGTGTTGGTGTCATCCCTGGAGGAAGCACTGACACTGTTGCATACACATTACATGGTACAAGTGATATTCAAACTGCTGTTTTCCACATCATTTTAGGCAAGTTCATTGTTGGTTTTGTAGCCATCACATTTTTTTAAAAAAATTGACTTTTTGGTTTACATTGATCAAACCTTTAATAATATGTATGTTTAACTGTTACACAGGTGAGAGTACTGGGCTGGATATTTGCAGTGTCCACAACGAAACTAGCCTTCTTCGTTATTATGCTAGCATGCTTTCCTATGGCTATCTTGGAGACGTATGCAAATCTAGTGAAAAATTCCGTTGGATGGGTCCAAAACGTTATGATTACTCTGGTAAATATCTTTTTGCCACATTTAGAATACTGTATGAAAGCATAACATTGCATACTAACACCTTTCTCTTCCATAGGGTTTAGAAAAATTTTGGCTAACCGTGGTTACTTGAGTGAGATTACCATATTGTCTAGTGATGAAGACTCTCCTGCAACTGGACCTAAGTGCTACAAAAACTGCAATAAATGTGGTGATGAACCAGATAAAATAGAGAAACCACCCTCAGGTAAAATTTCTTGTTATGCTTGTTTGTTTGTTTCATTTGATTGTCAAGATTCCTTTTTTAAATTTTAGTTTAACGACTCAATTTGAACTATTCCAGATTGGAAAACTGTTCGAGGACGTTTTTTTATGGTAAATGGATTGAATATTTCATGTGCGTGTGCAAAGGCCCCAAATGGCTTCTCGCCATTCTGTCATATTGGAGATGGTTGTCTGGATGTTGTGCTAATAAGACACACCTCCTTGATAAATATTTTACGTTTACTCTTGCGTGTTTCAAGCAAGACAAGGACAATGGTAACTGCATTATGTTTGATTCTGGCTTGTTTTTGTTGTGTGCAAAATTTTTCAAATTCAGTAATTTTTATTTTATTTTCTTTGCTTTTGATAGTTTGACCTACCTTTTGTGGAAGTACACAGAGCTCAAGAATTTACTTTACAAGCAATGCCTGATCCACAACTTCAACTACTGGATCCTGACGCTCCTGATGCACAAACAAGTGTATGGAATTGTGATGGTGAAGTTGTGTATGGTACCAATATTAAGATAAGGTGACTGATTTTAAGTAACTTTTATTTAGTGTTACAAGTGTTGTGTCCATGGGAATGGCAATTAATGCAAGGTCATAATTTTTCAGAGTAAGGCGTCAACTGGTCCGCATGTTCAGTCAGAGAATGGAAGAAGATGATCGGGAGCCCTCTTGTATTGTGTGCAAGTAGTGGGATAACATTTACAATCTCTGAGATCAAGATGATGATGGTAAGGATCACTTCAAGGGGCTTTTATCACTATCCTTGGTAAAATTGTATTACCGGTATTATTATTATTAATTATTATTGACCATCACCAGCTCTTCATTCTTTGTTCAAAGTTTTATTGTATCATAACTGTTTTTGATCATGAATGAAGTTCTCACTCAACTTTATAGTGCCATTCTTCTGAGTGAAATATTTTCTCTTATGAATATTTGTCTACTGTTTTTACAGTCAATCCTTTATTTTAAGTGACATCACCCAATCAGGCTCAATTTATTGCTCTGTGAGAATTTATTTCCTTGTTATATGTTTAGTATTAGTCTATTTATGAAAATGATTATATTTAAATATTTTTGAAATTGGTGTTCTAGTGCATGAGTACTTAAAATCTAATCTGTCTGTGGTACAAAAAGAAACATGTGTCACATCACAGTATAACTGTTCCTCTTATGAATTCATACATCACTTCCCTATGAAAGGTTTATAATGATATGAGCAGAATTTTTTTTTCTTGGTGGCAATGTAGAGACCAAACAAAAAACGTTGGTACATATTCTTAGGCTTGAAATGGCTATGAATATGTCAAGTTCATTCAGTTTTATTTTTGTTGAGACTTGCAGATTTTATGCCACTGTTTAACTATTCCTTTCTCCTTTTTTTTTACTTGACTTTACTTTGCTCTCTCTTGTGTGTGTCAAGTATGGTTTGCATTTGATTGGTTTCAGTTACAATACGGTGCAGTATATTACTCAAACATTATGTCATACATTCTTGTGCCAAATGCAGATTCTTTATTTATATTTCTGTAACTTGGAATCTAGTCATCTAGTTTCCTGATTATCATTTTGATTTTGTGTTCTTTATGTTTTGATGATAATGTCAGCAAAAGTTACTTCCGAAATAATCTGTCATATCATGCAGTATTGTGATTCGTATCTAGTATTGAATTTCGAACATCATGTTTCTTGTGTTTCTTCGGTTCCTACCAATTATACAGTGTGCTGGCATTATGCTTGATTGTAATGCATATGACCTCCACAGTTTGTTCTCGTGAGAAAATAATTGTTTCTCTCAAACAAAAGTATTAGGTGTGTCAGTGTCACACGCCTTGTCAACTTACCCATGATATTATTTTTGTGCAATAACAGTAAAAGCATTCTAATGTTACAAATTTAGAAAGCAAGCTGCCCATTATTTAGCAGACAGTACTTGGATACAGAGCGTTTTTGGTTTATGTAGGTTTTTCCTCAGATTGCCACAAGGCAATTGAAATTAGGTGATCGTTGTGCAGTTGGTATTTTGTCATAGTGATATTATGGTGATATTTAGAAACACTTTCATCAAGTGTTTGTGATAAAAGGGAATCTGTAATTTTCTTGTTTTCAATTAGTCTATGAACCAATAACTGTTCAGTCATGTATAGCACTTGTGGACAGTTTATTCTCTCTAGCCTTTCCTTTTGCCTTCTGATTATTTCAGCTGTTGGATGAGCTATTCATTTTCACAAGGCTGTATTTTAATAAGTAATTACACCTGTATTAGCTTAAGGTTGTGGTAGTCCAGTTTGTAACTTCATACATGTATTGGCTTATGGTTATCATAGTCCAGTTTGTAACTTCTTAATGTTCTGGCAAATGGTCAGAAGCTACACCAGGTATAATCTTGAAGTGATGTTGAGCGATTCAGTATTTGTTCCATTCGGGTACATTCCAAGCTCGAATTTTAAGTCTGTTAGCCATATAATCTTATCATGTGTAGTATTGTGCCTGGAGCACCATCACATATAGGGGAAAGAAATGAACACTTGCGTATTACGGCTGTATCAGTATCAACATTTGGTTCAAAGGTGCAACCTACCCAGTATCTAATTATTTGTATTGAATGCAGTTTTTGTACTAACCACAATTCAGTATTCATGAAGAAATATAAGTATTTTTAGTGCCTTTGTTCTTGGGTCAGAATGCTGTTTGAAACTGTTATGACTCTTGAAACGTATTTTGTCAGGTCCTTCTGAATAACATCAGTTTGATAGAAGGTAAAGATTTTACTATTGATGTGAGAAAATTCTTTACATTGCATTTTCGTGTGTGCATTTGCATGGTTTTACTTTTGACGTTGCCAAATATCAATGTGGATGCTGAAACAGCCCTAACTGACATTGGTTTTATTGTTATACTTTTTTATTAATTTATATAAAGATATATTTAGTATGGTTGTGGGATAGACATATAGTCACTTTTCCTTTTTAACTAGACTTTTTTCAAACATTGTGCACTAATCTCGCCTCAAAAGGGGCTGAGAGAATAGCATGTAAAATGTGAGTATTATGAATAATTATTTCTGTGCTCTATCTAGTTAATGCTAGTATCAATTGATGGTAAGATTGGTATGTGTCATTTGGCACACATTGTGAGGTGGGTAGAACTTTATTTTACAGTGCATAATAATACACAGGGCATTTTAAAGAATTTCATTCATGTAAACTTTGTGTTGTGATGCTAAGGACTCAGGTAATTTCAGTACAATGTTGGTGATGGGATGATAACCATTGTCAATTCTTCGAAAGGAGAGCAAACACAACAACTCTGATGTAAAACTTTTCTAAACACATACTTGAGCATTACATCCCAAGGCGACTTCCCCAAAATTGATCATGGAAGGTTCACCCTCCGTTACTTTTTTCTACTTACTTATTGCTCAAGAGGGATTCCAAGCATTTGTTATAAAAGAGTGATATATTCTTAAAAAGTATTGTCTTTATATTTCATATATTTTGTTGTGACTGGTTAAACCTTTTGTGATGCTTGAATGTTGAAGAATGATAAATTTGTATGACATGGATTTGTGTTTGGCTTATTTCTCCTCTGTCTTCCTTGAAACTGTTCGAGATGAACATTAACAAAAGCCACTATGGTTTTTTTTTAACATTTTCGATCAAAAGATTTCAGTAGCACAAACTTTAGTGCTGAAGCACTCTCTAATGAAAACCTCGAGCCAGTTGAGTGCTGGTTCCGGCGCTTGAGCTCCCATTTGAAAAACGCGCTGCTCCGTCGCCACCTATCCTAGTTCCAGCTCGGCCACCAGAGGTCTCTGACTTTAGAGGGGGGAACGGGAACGGAATAGGAATGCACCCTCCTCTCGCCCAAATGTCATCACATCACAAGACGACAAGACAAACAATTTTATGATTGACAGTATCAGAACATTTGTGATATAGGTGTCTTTTCTTAAGCGTTAACAATGGAAGCTGTTCCGCGACTCCCTATGGTCTGCTTTGAACTTAGATCACCATCGGAAAACCCGAGCTTTGGAAGGCTGAAGGAGGTAAACACTCGAAAAAGATTGCATTCTATTGCGACCCGCTATTGTTGTGTTTCTTAAAAGTCACCATACAATTGTTGGCGTAAGAAATCTTCTTGCTCACTTCAACGGATAGTAATTGACTTCAGCTGCGTTGTTTACTTTGTCATAGTCTATCTGTCAAACATTTGGATTAACCTCAATTTCACCCGGTTTTGCGTAGTAGGCTTCCGTCCTCAGTCAGTGAATATTCTTTTCTATTCCAAGTTGACTCTTAATTGTTTTGCTTTTAATCTTTGTTCACTGCAAGTACTCTGTATCACTCGGAGATATCGTTTAACTTAGGAGTTTTAATGCTGCGTTGATTTTAACAGTACATTAAGAACTTCTACCATGAAGATCCTGACACTTACTCTCAAGAAATTGGTGTTATGGAGGCATTACGTGCTGGGGCTGTGAGGCCAGAAAAAGATGTCCTAGGCGTTGCAAACTTGAAGCGCTATTACTGTCAGCTCCATTTCTTAATGAGCAGATTCCCGATGGTCAAAGATGGAGCTGCTGCAATCACGTTTGGCTGGTGTGTAAAATTGTCTTTTGATATGATGTATTCCATATCTTGCATCTGCAATTAACTCTCATTGTCCTCCCAGGCGGGATGTATATGTCGGCATAGCATACTCTGTGGCGGACATTCGGTATGAAATATCGTCAGTTTTGTACAATATTGGTGCCTTACATACACAACTTGGTATGTTGGACACTCGAACAACAGAGGATGGAATGAAAATGGCTTGCACTCATTTCCAGTGTGCTGCTTGGGCTTTTCAGGTAGAGTACCTATTCTTGAAGCTGAAAATAAACATAATGTTCTTGCCAGCATTTTTCATTTACCTATGTTTTGCAGCACTTGAAAGACACATATCCTCCCTCTACTGACGCTGACGTAGCTCCTGATATAATGCTATTTGCATATCATCTCTGCCTAGCACAGGCTCAAGAGTGCATTCTTGAAAAGAGCATGATGGATAACCGCAAAGCATCAATTATAGGTATTAATCCGAATTTACATTCAAAATATGGCCAGTACTTGCATTAATATTGTCGCTTCTTGAAATGCTCTCCTTCTTTTTTTTTTCAGTGAAAGTTGCAGTCCAAGTAGTAAATTATTACAGTCAAGCTTTTAATGCTTTGAAACTAAGTGTCTCTGAAGAATCTGTGGGCACTAAAGTTTACACGGTAATTTCCTTGTTACTTATCATTATACTCAGATTTAAGTGTAGCTTTGTTAAGAATCTAGTTTTCTTCTACTGTCTTGTCCTATCTTTACATTTCAGTCATGGCGAAGGTTAGCAAAATTCAAGGAAATATATTATCGCTGCGTAATTCAACTATTTCAAGGCATGCAAGCAGAAGAACAACAGAAGATGGGAGAAAGGGTGGCCTTTTATCAATTAGCTCATGAAACACTTGAGGAGGCCATAAAGTTGTCAAAAAATCTTGATAAATCTGATGTGAGTCTCAGATCCACTTATTTCTTACTATGGATTATCGATTACACTATAATAATAATAATAATAATAATAGTAATAATAATTTTTCTTTGTAGATGAACCCTAAGCAGGTACAAGAAGCCTTAAGTTTTACGCAGGATGTTGTTGAAGGCAAAAGGAAAGCTGCAAAGAATGAGAATGAATTCATTTACCATGAAGAGGTTCCTGATCGAGATCAACTGCCCAAGGCAATGGGTGTGTCACTTGTTAAGGGCATCCCTTTTAGTATTAATGACCCTGAGGTATCTGGACAAGATATTTTCCGAAGATTAGTTCCAATGAAAGCTCATGAGGCATCATCCCTTTACAGGTATGGACTATACAATTTTCTTTGTCAGATTTGCTAACTATGTTGTGTTTGAGAATCTCTTCTCCCTCTTCTATTTTACTTTGCTGTTTTAAAATTTATCTCTTAATGCTGTAAAATGTTGCCTGGTTTGTAGTGAAGAAAAAGCCAAGCTTCTTCGGAAAGTTGGAGGATCCATTGAAGAAAAAGATCAGCTCCTGACAGCATTTCTTTCTTCATTGCAACTGGATTATTTGCATTGCTATTCCGAACCAAATCAACTACCTCAGGTACTATTCTGATTTTTCGTTTTGTGAATGTACTAGATATCTAACTCAAGGAATATTGAACTTTGAAACATAAACATATTTTTATATGTTGCAGGAGCTAGTGGATCGATGTGCAGCTCTCAGTGCCAAACCTAATGCAATTCAAAGCTTAGTTGAGTCCATGTCTAAGCTCTCTGATGTTTGTGTTGGAGTGGAAACAATGCTTCAAGAAATAAAAATTCTAATTGAGGAAGAAGAGACTTTGGAAAAAGAGTATCAGTCAATTATGGGTAAAAGACCCCCATCAATTGTTGCCACTGACATGACCCGGGAAATGACCAAATATCTGGAAGCTCATGCAAAGGCAAATGATTCCAATCAAGCTCTCCATAGAGTTATGTCAACACATATAAGCAATTTGCGCATTCTATCTCTTCCTCTTGGCCAATTACAAGAACAAATACCACCACCACCATCTCTTTCAGGTTTGTACTTTTGCTTTAAAGCATAACAAGTCATTACAGCAGTGTTCAGTTCGTTTCATTTTTGTTGTATCAGATCCTGAAAGTGAAAAAATTGTCAGAGAGATGCAAAATTTGATGGAGAAGGTTGAAGAAATGCGCAGTCAGCGAGCTATGTTGACATCTCAGCTACGAGATTCTATTTGCAAAGATGATATCACTCAACTTCTTATCACCCACCCAAATGAGAACGTTGATATTATATTTCAAGAGGAACTAAAAAAACATCAAGATATTGTAAGTCCTTCTCTGTTTTTTCCTTTAAAAAATTTTTTTCTGGTTAATTGCTTTTTTTTAAAAATATATTTACTTTTTAAACCTGTAGGTGAAATTGATTCAGCAAAATCTCTCAGCTCAAGATAACATTTTAAAAGCTGTGACTGATGCCTATGCTCGTTATAGTAATGTTCGAAAATCCACTGCTGAAGTAGTGAGGAAGAGGCAGTCAGTCATCAATGCCCTCATATCTTGTTTTGATGCCTATGAAGATTTACTAGCTAAATCTGCAAAAGGTCATGAGTTCTACAATATTCTGGAAACAAATGTCAGTAAGCTACTTGGCCGAGTCAAGAGCACGTGTCGTGTTCAACAAGAGGAAAGGGAGCAAATGCTACTGAAGAGTAATAATGTTTTGCCCCAGAAGATCCAAAACAAAGCTGCAATAATTTCGGATCCGTCTGCCACTTTACCGAAGTCATCTACACCAAAACTTAAGGATTATTTAAATTCTGATGGTGGTATCAATGTGTCATTGAGAAGCAACTACATGAGCACTGAGTTGGCACCTCCTGCATATCCCTCGAATGCCATGTATAGTCCAATGCCAGTAGACACTTCGGCCCACTCAGGAGTATACTATGATTCAGGTCCAAATGCATCATCGAAAGTACCTATTGATAATAAGCCTCAGAGCTGGATGCCAGGAGTTAGACCGGCTCCCTTGGGATCTGAAGCCACAACATCGGCTTTGAAATCTGAACCTAGTGATATGAAGAATGCATCATATCTCTCTCAAACTCCAGCTGCCCTTCATAACACATACCCCCAACAAGTTTATAATTATGCTGGCGCTTGGGGATATGGAAGTCAAGCATCCACAATGAGTACCTATCTCCCTACGAATGTCCAATATTCTGTTGATGCAAAATTAAGCGACATGTCAGTCCTTCCAACAAACCACCGGATGGACACCTACAGTATTGACCAAGGACATCGGTATACGCCAGTGGGTGGCACATCTTATCAGAGCACGATCGAGATTCCAGGAACTAATCTACAAGCTTCTCAAGAAAATCATTTGGCATCCGGAGGCTACAAAAACCCGTCGACCCAAATACCACCGCCAATGAGCCAAACAGCCGAAAACACTATCCCGGTTTCTATGTATCAGTCCAACACTGGCTATGAATCTTATCAGCCGACTGTTGCAGCCTCTGTTGGTACCACTTACAATGCACAGAATAATTCATCAGCCTACCAAAGCCCTCCCTATTTGGCTGGTAGTTCTTCTGGTCTTCCTTCTGCTTATCATTCCGCCAGTGGATATGGTGAAACATCTGATCAAAGTGGAGTTTCTGTCTACAACAGTGCATCCAATACTATTCAGAACTCTGGAGTGAGTCAGTACCCTAACCAATTCACTCAACCAGCAAACTCCTACAATCCACAAGTTTTGCCTGGGTATCAGAATATGTCTGGAAGCAATGCTGTGTCTGCTACCCAACCTAATCAATACTCTTATGACCAGCCCTACCAAGCCCAAGTAGTTTGGCCATCCAGTTTGCAGACATCAACAGCTTTTAATTCAACGTATCCGACTTATCAAACAGCTGGCTCCAGCAATTCATCGCAGTTCCAATATATGGACAACCAAAATGTTTCATCCTATTCCAGTGCTGGATCATACCCAACAAGTCAAACATCCTCCAGCTATACCAATCAAGCGCAAGCATACCCCTTCAATTCGAGTTCAACAAGCACTGCTGGAAGTTACTATGCCTCTCCTCCTTATGGCTCTCAAGGTCAGACCAGCATCATGGAATCTACTGGTTCAAATCAGAGTTCATATGCCGGGAACCAACAGAATTACACTACACAGGGGATGTACATGCAAGCTCGCATGCCCAACTCTGACTCTTACACTACAGACACACCAAATCCCTCCAGAAGCTCTCACTCTGAGGATTTGTCATCTAATATTGATCTATTAGCTGGGCTAGATTTTTCCATCAATCAGCAGCCTTTAGTTCCTCAACTGCAGCTGTCTAAAACCCCCTCTGAAGGCAAGGACTTTGCTCCAGTCACAGAACTCCCAGTCAGCAAACAGCCAGCTGAAAATAATGTCGTCAGTACTCTACCAATGAAGAGTCCTGTATCTGATGAGAAACCTGAAACTCTCATGGATTCTATGGCTGCTTTACAGGTAAAGGAAAACTATTCAATACTATCCTGCTTGCTTGATTTCATTGATAAACTCATCCAATTTTGATATGTACAGGTTGCAAGTGATCAGAATGTGAAAACACAAACTCAGAAATTTCCAGTCATAGATCCTTTTCAAGATAAAGACTACCTCCACCAATTTACTCAAGAAGTAGAGAAGTACGAGAAGTTTGTGGAAGGTCTGACACTGAAAACATTAAATGGACCAACTCCTCTTGATATAAAATGGAAAGAAATCACTGAACTCCAGGTTATTATTGATCTCTCTATCTAATGATCTTAGTTTTTGCATCTACATTTATAACCCTTGATTTGTCATAGGAAAGAGATTCCCACCGAAGAAGTATTTCAGTGGCTAGATGTTATCCCATGAAAAACCGGTTCCCGGATATTCTGCCGTATGATTGCTCAAGGGTTGAACTTCCTTCTACCAAAGATGACTACATCAACGCCTCGCATTTGAAGGTATTAGAACTTGGCATTCAATTTCCTTATCTTAACTACTACTAACTACACTCTTATTACAGGATTTAACTCCATCTACACCTTCTTTTATTTTAACCCAACTACCCCTTCCCTCCACTTTTAATGATTTCTGGATCATGGTTCATGAACAACAAGTAGAAGTTATAGTATGCTTACTGAGTGATATGGAGGTAGGTTTTCCTTTTTCCATATTAAGACTCCCAGAAAAAAATCAATTCAATTTAAAATTTCTTTCTCATTTTTATGACCGTTTGTAGCTTGAAGGACAAAGGTACTGGCCTGCTGAAAAAGGTCAAGAGCTGTCTCTGGGCAGGATGCGTCTTAACTTACAAACTGCCAATGTAAAACAGCACTGGACAGAGCGTATTATTTCTGTTTATGATGCTGAAACAAGAGCCTCCAAAATAGTTGTTCATTTGCAGTTTACTGCATGGCCTGGAAGGTATGCATCATCTATGCACTCTCATTATGTAACTATAAGAATATACACTGTTGACAGATCCTCTCTTCTCTTTTCTGCATTTCAGTTCTTTTCCAGCATCACCTGGCCCTTTCCTGTCCTTTGTGTCTGAATGCCTTGCCTTTCACTCGCAACAGAGGGTGGTTTTGCACCCTATAGTCGTTCATTGTCAGTCAGGAGTGGGCAGGACTGGCCTCTTCTGTCTAACTGCTGCTGCTGTGTGTGAGGTGCAGGCTGGCCATGGGCTGATTGATCTTGTCAAATTGACTGCAGCAATGAGTGAGCGCCGGAAGGCGGCCCTCAGGGATCGTGAGCACCTCAAGTTTGCATACCTGTCTTTGCTGTATTATGCTCAAGACATATTGATGAAGTGTGAGTGTATTTTCATTATTCTCAATTTTGTGCCGTGCCTTAACAAAATATTGCTTGAAGTAACAAACAGTGTCATGCTCAAAATATTCATATATAACTGATCACCAATTTGTTTCTTAGGCGGGATCTTGACTAGTGGATCTAGTTTTGAGGATAAAAGGAGTCGATCGGAAGGAAAGTGTCACACTCGCCATCCCTCGCAAGATTTCCTCCTTGGCCCTCCCACTGGCTTGAGTCAACTACAGTCTGGACTTGAGAAAATGGGGTTAGGTAGCGCCTAAAGCTTGCATTTTGTTGCTTTTCTTTACAGAAAGTCACATTCCAATCTGGACCATTTTTTTTTTTCAAATGATGATCAATCTATAAAATCAAGATTTTTGCTTTTAGCTCAAAGTTTGAGCTACTAAACATTTTTGGAACCCTTTTGGAATTGTGAAAATAGATTCTGAATGTTTACTCCCAGTAAGAATTATTGGAGATGAGTTCCACAATGTTCCTTGTAGTTTCTGGTTCTCTGAAAAAACTGGTCAAGCATTTTGACCACAGACTAAGTTTTGATACATTGTGCATATGCTTTCCAAAAAATTGAAAATTTGTAGCACGCATGTCAAAACATATGCATGTTCACTCCATTTTAACAATTCTAATCATTGTTTTTTGGTTGTGAATTACTATTTTCATTGGCTCAAACTTTAAGGCACATTCTTATCTGTGTAAGTTGGTTGTCAAAGGATTGTGTCTTGTTTTTGCAATTTTTTGTTGCTCTAAGCTATTTTGTAAGCTTTGTATAGGATCCAACCCTCTACTTTCATGTTGCTTTTCGGAATGACATCTAAAACTGCACTGCAATTGTCTTTTCCTGTTGAGTTTTGCACATAATGTATTGTGTGGGATGTTCTCTCCGTATTGCCTTGCTATCTTCTCCATGAATTGGGGGACTTTCTACCATTCACCAAAAGCTCCTTGACTACAGCAAGTTGCTATATTAAATTCACTTCTCCAATTTGGCTAAAACATTTTAGAATCAGAACAGAATTGAAGGAAACAAATTAGGTATAACCTTGTGCACTCATCATCCTTTATTGTTAATTTTGGTTCGCTTTTCTTTTTCAGATGTGCCAAACCAGAGTCTTGAAGTGGCCAACCAAATGCCGGGTACAGAAAGGGAGTTGCCTGCATCCATCCCGACAACCCCATCACCTGGTATTGAAGCCTCACATCTTACAGATTTGTCTCAGTTAAAAATGCAAAGCAAAGCAAAAGAAGTAAAATCTTCACGCTATACAGCTGAAAGCTTTAAGAAGGCGAACCAATCATTGGAACTACTGACGTCAAATCCTACGGACCCATTCAGTGAAATTGATCCATTGTGGCCCCTCAAAAGAAATTAAATTGTTATAAGTTTCTGTTTTCTCAAGCTGACTAAATCTTGTTTAGTTTAAATCATGCAAGGACAGAAGTATTACAATTTGTGCTCTTAAAACCCACCTGTAACCAGAGCTTATCATTGCTTTAAATTTTAAGATCCTGTTTTGATTATATCTCGTGGTTTTTATTGTATGAGACTGACACTGAAAGTTGTGATGGAGAATGCTGCTTATATTGTGTATTTCCTCTTTATACTATGTGACGTTTCAATCTTTGCCTGCCACTGTGATAAACTGGCATTGTATCTTTCTTATTGTTATATTTTGTTTAGCAAATATTTAATCTTTGTAGATTTTGACTTTAGTCTTTCATTAGATTTGCATCTATTGTTTCTTGGAGTCCTGAAGTCGCCCTGTGTCTGGAATATACTTTTATTTTCTCATTCTGCTTGTTGCCATGCCTATGTATTCTATTTATTTTTTCAGGCAGTGAACTGAGCCATAATCTCATGACTGAGCTTTTATGAGTTTCTTTCTTACATGCAATTTATTTGTTACTTTTTGTAATAATTTTATCATTACCATTCCCTGTAAATTGTACTTTGTTTTTTATCAAATGATTTTCACATTATTTTCTGTCTTTATGGAAATAATCAATCAGTGCACTTTCATCTTGTGATATTCATACTGTATTTCTTTGACCACTAAATCAACATGAAATAAAATAAAATGTTTCAATCAATGTTTATTTCAAGTTAATGAACTTCGAACAGTACTCATCAATACCTATCCAATGATACCAAACTTTCGCCCTATAGGTAGAGCCGCTATTCGGAATAATTACCAAAATATTTTCTCTCGCATCAACAAAGCTCTATAGTCCCAAAAGCCTCGTCACGAAGTATTGTCGAATTTAAACACGAGATTGAAACTTCCCTTAACACCGCTGACGCTTTGCGACCACAGCGCCCCTTGCGGTCGAGACATGTAGCTCCGACAAGTGACGGGCGGTCCCACCCTTTGCTTTGCATTGCGGGCGGATAGCAAAGTACTCAAGTCATGTGTGTTTATTTTCAAGTGAATTTGGCGCTGCGGCAATGATAACCACATCACCGGGCTGTGCAAACCAGAAATGCTGTTCGTGTGAAAGCCTCGGTCCGGCCGCGGTTCGCTCGGGTTTGCTCCCGGATATATCAATGGCTACTGCTATCTGTGATATTACGAACCCTGCGTAGTTGACCCCGGATCAGGATCAAGATCAAGCGCCGCTGAAGGCTGCAGGGCCAGGCCAGGCCTATCCAAAATGGCCTCACACCCCAACGCCAATAAAATAGAATGCCAGGCCACATCTTCCAAGTCACCCCAACATCAGAAAGGAGCCGGGTCTAACTTCGAGCCTCTGGACAAAACGACTAGCAACACCCTGAAAGTAAGGCTGCAGCTGCAAATCGGCTTGGCACTGACCACCATTTCTTCCCTGGCTGTGGTCCTGTCTTTCCGGCCACAGATACACAAGTCCTTTGTTTACATCAGTCAATCCTTGCTCCTCCTTTTCTCTTCACATGCAAGTGTGGTTCCTAATCCCATTCAGCGCCCCGTGAGACCTTGTAAGGTGAACGCTAGGACTTGTAGCTGATGAGCTCACCATGCTATATTTGTCAGGGAAAATAATAATACTGACACTTCCCGCTCTCAACTCTTGCTCTCTGTTCACAATCTTCATTCAAACTGTACACTCAATTTCCTGTAGTTTCTTGAAATGTTCATTATTTTTAATTCGCTGTTATCTTTATATCTAGTCTCACCTGCACTACCTCCCCTTGTTTGTGTACTGAGATGAGGTTAGGGCCCTGTCCTGTCATTACACAAGACTTATTTTTAGTTGAAAATTTTTATGACACCAAATATTTTTACAGCCTTTAAGGGACCCCATTAATACTTCCCTCAATCCGTCATACTCACCGACTGTTTCGTTTTCAGCGAAATCCAAAGATGGAGCTCAGTAAGCAGGAACTCCTGAAACTTCTCAGTTACCTAGAGGGTGAACTGGAGGCAAGAGAAGTAGTAATAGCAGCTTTAAAGGTAATTATGCTGATTCCCAGTTTTAATTTTAATTCTTTACTTTGGCATGTTTTGAGCACCCATAACGCTGATGCTATTTTGTTACAGTCAGAAAAAGTTAAGCAACTTGTTCATCAAAGCCGGCACAGACCAGGTACACTAACACAGTCACATTTAGCTTTGCAACAAGATAGCTTTGCTGTTGCGGATTCCCGACTAGGCCTAGACTGTCTTTTAGCAGACCATCAAATGGCGTCCCTAGATAATGTTATATTGCAACACAAGCAGTCACAACTTCGCATGGCAAAGATGTTGCGGGACATGGAACTTCGTCATCTTAAAGTATGTTACACGTGTTGAAAAGATCTTAACATTATGTTTAGAATGTACTTTCAGCATTTTGTGCAATTGATTGATTTTTAGTAATAATATTGCTCTTATTTATTTAGGTTGTTCAAGAGCTTGATGAAGAGAAAAGGAAACATGAACATGACACTGCCCAAGGTGATGATATTACTTATGGTCTGGAAAAGGAAAGAACAAGATTAAAACAGGTACGTCTTCTTTAGAACTTACTCAGCAATAAATCCTTAGTTAAGGAGGAATTTTCCTACAGTCTGAAGCTTGTTTTATTGCTGTAGGAATTAGAGTTAGAAAAGCAAACACGGAAGAAACAAGAAAAAGACTTAAAGAGAGCCAATGAAATTCTGGAGGAAGAAAGGAATCGTCAGAAACAAATTGTCTTATTACTTCTTGCTGAACGAAAAAAACTTATCATGAAGTATGTTGAAGAACGTAAGCGATCTGAAGATTTGGCTCAGGTGAGATAAGTGCATTTTTAAGTCGCTTATATGAAGCGGGAAATTATACTCCTGAAAGCTAATTTCTGTTCTTTTTTAGATTGTTAGTGAAGAAAAGGTCCATATGAATGCTATGGCAGACGGTCTTGAAGAAGAAAGTAAAAAGTCATTACAAATGGAAGCTGAGCTGGAAAAGCAAATGGCTAAGTTCGAAGTAGAGCGCCAGCATTTAAAGCAGCAACTACTACGAGAGCAAAGAAGGTACATTATTATCTTAATTATTTGTCCGCCTGCTTTGTAATGTATATGCTTTTATACTAAACTCAAAACTTTACTTACAGAGTTACGGAACTCGAATCTGATTTGGAAAAGTCTAAAACCGAGTTGCTGTCTGCAAACAAACAGTTGGCAGAAGCTCATCAAGTTGCTATGTTCCAAGCTACTGTGAACACATCACGCCCAGGTATGTTTGGTCCTGTTTTCTACAAAACTGTTCCACAAGGATCAGGTAGAGAACATGTGTAATGTAAATTGTTCTTTTTCTCCCCTTTTTGTCTTTTCATGCTAGATAAAATTCCTACTTCTGAAGTGTCAAATGTTGTTTCAGGCACTGTCAAAGGTGTTCCTTGGTCTGGTTTGACTGATGGTGATGCTGGTGCTCAAACTGGAACCCCAATGCTGAGTAGTGTAGCCAAAGTTGTTCAGCCAACTGCAACTGTATCCAGTGTACCTGTCTGTGCTCCCAGTATGTGTTCTTAAGTTTGGTGATGCATTGTATGTAAGTGGCTCTTGTTTCCTGATAAATAACCACACTGATTTTAGCTACAGGTATTGCAAGGTCTGTCTCCCCTGGCCAGAGCGCTAGAACTGCTCTCTTTTCCCCAAATTCTGCTACTTCACCAGCGGTTCAAGATGAACAACCGCCCAACACTGTATGTTGAAATGACTCTATGTATTTATAGCTCCCTCTGTTTTCTTTATATTAATCATTTGAACTGTTTTTCCCCATAGGCTGCTCCCCGCCCGAGCCATGCTCCGACTCCAGGTGCCAAACTCTATGCCACATCGGCTGGTGGCAAACTCACTTTCCATGTGTCAGCAGCAGCTGCTGCTGCAGCCGAGGCTGCAGCTGCCTCATCTGGCGATTCTACGCCTTCTGCAGTACAACCCCAACCTCCACCCAAGAAAGCAACTCTAGGGCGTGGAGCGCCACCTCCTGTTCCACCCAACAAACCTATAGTTCCTCCCAAAAAAGACTCTGCAGTAGGGAGGAAAGCAGATGGAGGAGCTGATGGCTCTGCAACGGGGGCTAAGCTTGGCCTTGTCAGCAAGGATAAAGCCCCTCAGGTGGGTCGTGTGGGCGAGCTGAATGTCAGCCCATCAGTTTGCAGTGTTGATAGTTTGCATGCCACTGCTGCCTCTGCACCTGCACGCCCAGCCTCTTCGCACACTCCCTCTCCTAGCAGTGGCGAGTTGTCAGGTAATACTAAAGATAATAATACAATTTAAATTAAATCAACCAACTTTTCAAAGTACAGAGAGAATTGCTACACCTGTGCATCAACCATTATGAAACTGGAATAATCTGAAAGTTCCAGTCACTTATAGAATGATTTTCATCTTTGATCTAGGATGTCAGATCACATTGCTTTGCTGTAGCTTTCACTTTAATGTGTGGTGTTAAATTAATAAGTTGCATTCATTGAAATTCTTGTTCATGATTTCTTTTTGATGTTTGGTTTCTGAGAAACCTGACTTTTGCATTTAGTTCTGCAGTTTTGCTTAGCTTTTTTCCTTAAAAAGTTTATTTTGTTTAAGGCTATTCAAGTAGTTGTAGTTTTCCCTCTTCCTTTTTTTTTATATCCTTTGTGTGCGTGTTTATTTCTATTGTAAAATTGGGGGAAAAAATAGTGTGCTATTTTGCTTAACATAGTTTGTTCTTAGTTAAATTATTTTCAAAAATATTTATTGTTGTATAGTGTTCAATCTCTTTGCACTGTACATTCAAAACACTCAAAATTGAAAAATCAATTTTTCTTCTTTTGGCTTAGTCTATTGGTTCTTTGTGCAGGTTCCGTTGACTTAGTCAGTTCAGCCTGTGTCACCAACGAAGCTTCACACGTTTCTCCAGTAGTTCCAACCAGCCATGCTCTCCACATCATTGCTTCATCAGACCACTCAACCACGCCCAATAGCTGCCTTGACGGGGCTAGCTCTGCCGCTGCCACCACATCTAGCCAGTGTTCTATTGCCTCACCATCGCCTGATGCCGTTCCTCTCACCACACCTGCCCCTGTTCCCAGCTTGAATGCTAGCACTGCTCAGCCACCAGCCTCTATGCCAGATTTATTACCTGAATGGTAAGCATGTAGACAAAAGTTCACACATTCCAACACATCCACATATGTCATTTGCCCTGAAACTTGATTAATTCCTGTGTTATGCCATTATTTGATTAATGGGGAAGAAGTCTGTTTTAGTTAAACTACAATTTTACAATGTTTTTATTTATTTTAGCGTCCCTAATACCTTGGACTCCTGTAGCCGGCCACAAAAGCAACCAGAGGTGTGCATTACTCCTAAGGTCAGTTTTAAAATTAAATTATCTCAAGATTTTCTCCCTGTCTATTCAAACTCTCCGATGATTTATCTTGTTTTTGTCCTGCTTTCTTTGATAGGTTGATGCAGTTTGAGGTTCCCTTTACGTTCTCGACTACACTAAAATGGTGTTTCCTATTGGTGTGACTGCTTTCATTCTACAACAAAAAAAGTAATGGACGTGAATGTGTTCTCCATCCTCATTGCTCAAGCCTTCATCTACATAACATCAATTGCATTATTTTGGTGGTGACCATTGCTGCTTGTGCTGATGTTTACCTTTAAAAGACTCATGAAGTTAGCTTGGAAATGGCACAGTAGGTTTTCAGTTTGAGGAAAGCGAAGCATGTTGTTTGACTTTTAGACAAACTCCTGTTTTTTTTAAACAGGACTTTTTTTGTGGAATTAAGGTCCATGGATGAAGCTCTCAAATTGTTCACAAAGTTTTTGGAATGATTCTCTTTGTGTTGTCAGACTGGGGTGTTGGTGGCAGTATCTCTAGATTTAAAAACAAATGTGTGTGCTATATCCTTATGTACCTTATCCATCTACTTGTAGAAAACTTCTGTAATTCTATTAACAGAATTATGGACTGAATTAGACTGACATGCAGAGATACCCTACTTAAAGGCAGGCCTTTCAACTGCTGATGTTAGAGCCTTTCACCTTCCGTAAGATAAAGTATCTCATGGTAATGTAGACCCTGATGCCTTAGATTGAAACCTTTTCAGAACCATGAATTAAATGCTCAGCTACACTGGAAATGCAGTGGTCAGTGTTAACTAGTTTTAGTATGAGGAAGAAAGTCTCAACGGCAGCTACTGCCTTGTATTATGCATATATCATTTTAATTTTATCAAATGGACTGGGAAATTGCTTTTAATATGTTATGCTGTCTTTGATTTGTAGTAATGAAAGCACATCAAAGTAATAAGCCGTACGGTTTGATAAAGGTAGAGCACCTTTTTTCTTTTCATTGGCTTGTGTCATTGTGCTTAGCTCCAAGATATTATCATTGTTGCAAAGTGTCCTTCCATTTAGGGATGCCTCATGCATTTTGTAAGAAAGCCTTTATTATTGGCAAGGAATGGGAGAGTTGGTGTGGTAGACATGTACCCAAGTATTGTTTGGAAAATTAGTACCTCCAGTACAGGAATGATGCATTCCAGTTACTTTCGATGTAAGATTTTTCCTAATTTGATCCAATATGGTCATCTATCAGTTCCATCCATTACTGACTAGCAGTAAGCAGCTGGAATTGATGTGACTCATCTAGGCAATACTTTCAGATTGGTGTATTGTAGTTATATTCTTCTTTGAATATTATTTGAATGGCAGCAATTGGACTGATAGATTGATAAATTGTTTTTCCCTCAATGCTATTAGCTGAGATAATTTCAAAGTTTCTGTCAGTAGACTTGTTAATACCCATCCCCTACCACTTAGATACCACATATATGATGTAACATTTTCCCTAGTCAAACTGTTATCACTATCAGGAAACAACGTCTTCTTTGGTGAATTGTTTGTTGTGCATGTCTGACCAATGTGATGCTATTGGATTTCAATTCTGTTTTCTATGTAAATACCTGGTAGAATAACTGGCAGAAACACTTATTTTGTCACGGAGACAAAATTTTGATTACAAAAATGCTGTTTGTGAGAAAAGCATCCATTGTCTAATAATGGAACAATGTGGCTCAATTTATTCTATTCAGCTTTACTCTAAACCAGTATTTTTGTATGTGTGAACCTTTTGTTGCCCTGGGGGCATGGAAGGGTTGAAATCAGATCTTCCACTAGCAAATGTAGTACACATCTGGAGTTGAAGGCAGACTTTAAATCCCTGCCTTCCATTTATTCATTTTTTTTTTTTAAATTGATAGATTTTTTTCTTATTTAGTTTTGTTTTGTAGGTGCTACATATTTTTTATTCCAGTGCATTTATTATTTTTTTACTTCAAATTTCTAATTTGTGTATCATAATGGTGTTTTCTCTTTTTGACAGAAAACTCATTGACCACCATTGAAATCATCTTTTCCATTTTTCTCCCAATTGAAAAAGAAAATGTTTTGTATGATATTATTTGTCTATTGAACAAACTCTGTGTACCTATCCTGCTTTTAAGGAATGTTTAAGGTGTTGCTTTCTTTAGAGCCCTAGGACTCTAGCTTTATGCAGTCGTTTCACTTGGAAAGTATTACTCATGTACTTACTTCAATAAGATTTTATTTTGCCAGCTGTAGAGTATAGTCTATTGCTTGGTCTGTATATGGTGTGTCATTAGGTCTGCTCAGTATTTAGGGATGAGGGTTGGGAGGGCCGGGCGCGGTCGGGCTAGTGCTGCATCAGTTCAGACCTGCCCGGTGAGCAAAGGGGCCCCTCTGGAATGACATCTAATTTTACAGTGGTGCCTCTCCGACCCGCCCAGCGCTCGTCTTTCTCAGTATTCTAGCTTCATCTAGATCAATATTTTTCTTGGAATACTAAGCACTGAAGTTTTCTGTTTGACTTTGTGTTTCAATCAAAATCTATACTACAGTTAAACATCACAGACTCTTTTTTTGGGGGATACTAAAGTATTGCTATCATTTTTATGATGAAACTGGATCAAAATAATGCTAGCCTGTTTTTCTTTTATTCCCTTTTGTAGTTTAATAAATTGTTCTATTCTGTTTACCTGAAATTCCTTCTGGTTGTGACATCAACCCTGTCATTTTAGCTATTTTATTGTTATTATTTCTTACTTTTTGGCATGATGAGATGGTGATCACGAAGTCCTTGTTTGTGATGCTCTACCTCTGGATCTTTTAAAAGCTGATCTTGGCAGCTAACATACATTGTGTTATTATTTTTAGAATGTCGTCTTAAGGAATGTATATTTATTGTAATTATATCTTTGATATCATTGTACAATTTTAGATAGTGGTTACAAGTCTTAAAATGGTATAGCTCTTCATAGTTTTGCCGGTGTCTCACATCACATCAATCTAGTGTTCATTTGGAACTTTTCATTTAGCTGTGGGCTGAGTAGTGCTGTGACTATTAGAGGGTTGTGCTAACTAAATTTCTAGACAATAATTGTTAACTTTAGGGCTCATAATCTGGTCGACGAAGCATTACTTTTATACCATCCTTTTTAATCAGTCAGTTAAAATTTCAGACGTTTCATTGCACTTCCCTGTGCATAAATAGCTGTGTGAATACATTCTGTGAATGTGAAAAGAATTCTCTTTGTTGGTACAACCCTCAATTTTGGGCCATGGTGCAGGCTGGACTGTTGAATGAAGGCAGAAATGGTCTTAGGATTTTTGTTGGTGAAATGATAGGTACTTTTCTCAGTTCTTAGCTATGTTCTGTACTGTGTTAATGGATGATGTTTTGACTGAGCTGTACAGACAAACGAAGTAACGCTTTAATTTATTTGTTGTGTGACATTAATGTCAGCTTGTCCAGTGAAATTACTTTTAAACTAACCCTCAGTAAATCTGTGATAAATCTGCAGTTACGAGGAGGCCAAACATTTGTTGATGGTCTGCTGTCATCAGTAGGAATTGTGAGTCTGTAGCATACTCTACTTCCAAGGCCAGTTTAAGAACATACTCAGGACCACATTGTGTCAACCATTTATATCACATGTAGATTGCAACCGCATTATTCTGTTTGTAGGTTGGCTGCAAATTATTCAAAACAAGAAGGTCTAATTACCTACCTATTTGCGAGTAGGTGAAAGTTGAGTCAATGTGAGCTCAGGGTGTCTTCGGTTTGTTTCTTAAGTCAAAGATGGTGAAGCCCATGTAATGAAAACAAACTGTATTCTGTCAAGAAAAAATTTCTTTAAGAAGAAATGCACTTCCCTTAGGATTCTGATCATTGCTGCTTTTTCCTACAACAGAACCACTGTTACTCACGCTGCTCTAGATGCTGTCTTTTTTTGTTTTTGTTGTTTTTTTACAATTACAGTACTTGTTGTTTTATTTTGATTGCCTTGGATTTAATTTTATCATCACATTAATATTTTCTTGCTCTTTAAGACACAAATGTTCACCTGGTCTTCATACTTGTTTAACACGTTCAGTGTGAAATAAGTGTTACCACCATCTTTCTACATTGATAAACCCAGATTGGTCTTGTTCACACTAAATGTGTTAAACCCAAAAGGGTTGTTGTTGATCAAATTGTACGGTTTTTATTTGTATCCTCTAGTCAATACAACAAATCAATTTATGTAACCTGTTTTATCTAATAATGGCCGTAAAGCAGCGCTGGAGGCCAAAAAAAAATCAATTGTTGATTCAGTTGTCTTTGACCTTGAAAGTTTGCATTTACTGAATTTTTCTTACATTAAGTTGTATCCTTTATGTTAAAGCTGTGAAAAATTTGTATATTTTTCTGAAGAGAAATTTCTAAAGCTTAAAAAGTTGCTTCTGTGCATACATGTGTAAATACTTAATTTGCAACATTCAGTTCAAAAATGTATGTAAACATGTGATTAAATGAATAAATATTAATTACTGCCAACTCCTGTAGTACATGTTCGTCTGAGTCATTCATTGCCTTTCCTACCCTGGTTTTGGTAAATGCAAAGCACCCAGCACAAGCTTCTCTCCAATAGTTAAGAGAAAGAGGAGAATCAGGGGCATCCAGTTCAATACAAAGGTGAAAGTTTTAATTAGAAATAAGACATTCTGGTTAGCATAATAGAAATCGATATAGACTACACACAATTGCAGACAGTTCAAAGATCACAAGGTTTGGATGAGACAGTAGAAAACAAAATAAAAAATATTCCTCTTGAAATAGGATGGAATTTTAAGAAAGTAGGTCCCACACAGGAATGTTTATTCGAAACTGCAATCACAAGTGAAGGTACACAAGTCAAAATAATTAAAGAAAAGCAGATATTTGTAACAGTTTGGGACAGCCTGCAGGCACTAAATTTAAAAATATTAGAAAAAAATAAATGAAAACAAAAAGAAATTATGATACTGATACATGAGATGTGCCAAAACCAATTGCCACGAATAGCTGGAAGAGTTCCTACAAGATAGACAGTGAAACATGAGAAACTATTGAGCGAACTAATGCCACAGAAAAAGAGAGAGTGGTTTACCAAAAACAACAAACATTCTGAGCAAATTGTGAAGTGTTTCCTTTTGCTACACACTGGTAATCATGACATTGCTTAATTGCTTAATCCATGTCAGACCACAAATGGACATACATGGCTCCAGTTGCTTAATCCATGGCAGAACATAAATGGAGTTTTAACACCCAGTGTCAAATTCTAAAAGCTTGTTAATAAACTTCAAAATTTGGTAGAAAAATAGTGTGACTTCACTTAAAAGTAATTGTCACCCACCCTGATTTAAAGTTTGGCCAACAAATGGCATTTCCAAATGGAGGAAACGGGAGATTAGAAATAATTTCTAAAATGACTCATGGTGGGGGCACAGACAAATGTGCTTTTTCTCCCACTCTTTGAGATGTATTCTGAATTCATGGCTGAATACATACCCTGAATCGCACATGAACAATAAATTATATTTGGAAATCATAAACCTACGCTCCTGCTCTTTCTATTAAGTAAAGATTAAATTAGAGACTGAGTTAGGTCATTCAGGGAATAAAAATATAAGACTTTCATCTTTTTGATAAGGACAAACTGGTGGAGGCCGTTCGATATTCAATATAGTTGGAATACAACTCATATGCCTTTCCTCACAGCTATGAGCCTAATGATCACAGATTATGCTTTGGTAAAGATAAAAATACGACTAGCTAAGTATCACTTGTAAAGGTTAATGTGAACTTACGATTCACTCAAATCTTTCATTGAGATCATAATGCATTAATGTTTGTCTACAACAAACATCTACAGGTCAAGAAACAAAAGACAGAAAAGTTGCCTTTGGGCCTTACTTTATGGTTCTTGCAGTATTATTATTATTATTTATGAACAGTCGGTACAGTAACGCCCTGACTAGATAAATTAAAATTTGATCTGATATCTTCAACCTGTTAATGGTCGTAAATCCACTCTCACCTTCTCATTTAAACCTAACATGCCTACGGTTGGATAAAAACCTCCTTTTGGTATCCGAACTTGGCGCATTCCTACAGTTTTTCCATTTCGGGTGAAGAAAATCTAAATGTGAAAAGGTTATTATTGAAAAACGAGCGCCACGATGAATAAATAACAATCCACTTCAACTGCATTACATACCTCAACCTTGCTGCCACATTTAACCTTCCCTTGGTGAGTCCACCACTCATCATCTTCACTTCCACTTGTATCGACAGTCAGGTCAATTAACTCAACATCTTTACCATTTGAAGAGCCAGCCCGAGGAGGACTGTTCCCAACATCACAGTCACTATAAACAAAAAAAACATCAATGTCAGGGGGTCTATTTTTAAATATTTTAAGAAAGAATATTTGTACACCAGAAGTTATTATTTTACCTGTCATATTCACTTATGTAATCTGGAGCAAAATAAATTCCACACCCCATTCGATCCCCCTTGTGACACCTAGGTCCAAATGGGTCTCCTTTACCACTTCCCATGAAAATTTTTCCATCATCAGCATGATATCCAATAGATCCTTTATTCCAGCCTGGATTTCTTCTGTCAGGGTAGTCCTTATGAAATAAATGGAGAGGAACAAACAACTTGTTAACACAAAAGATAATAAAAATTTCACGCTTTTTTAATTCTGCACAAGAACAGAGCAGGAGGGCATATGAACAAAACGAGGCTTTGAGTACCTTTCTAGTTAATCCAATAGCAATGTAGCAATTTTCTCCAGGATCAACAATTTCAATTTCAAAATAGTGGTGTGTTGTATTTAAGGGAAATCTTGCTTGAGCTAAGCCAACATCTGCAATACTTTGGCCTTTTCCACAATATTCAAGGTACTGTCCTCGTTGATGCACATCACTGAGGCGACACCAATCATCTTCATTACTATCAACAATCATTTCATCGTCATCATGCATAGGATGTCCAGGTAAACCAAGGCACACTCGCACTTCTTCACCAGGTGACTGCATAGATACAGCTGGATGAAAGCCGCCCAAGGGCAGATGTGTCCACAAAGAACCAATCTGTACAGGAAGCAACAATTATTTTTTTAAAAGGAATATCTCACTGCTTTGTTTCAACATTATTTCTTCAGAAAAAAGAAAATCTGGACAGAGTTTAAATACCTCTTTTCCATTTAATGTGAAGTACACAAGTACAAAGGACTCTGTATCATCAGCATCATCTCCGGAGTCAAAATGTTGCTCATATCTCAAGCCACATCCCACTCTATCATATTCCCGAGCTACTTTTACTCGGACTGTATCAGTAGCCATTTCACCATCTTTAAATAAACTAAAAGGAAGGAACTTATTAGTAAGTAAAGGAGGCAATTACCACAACAACAAATGCGGAATTAACTTAAAATAGTCTTACTGGCCATTTTCTACTGAAAGACCGATGGATCCCAAACTGTGGCCAATGTGACTGTGAAGCGGGTGTTTCCAACTTGCAACACCAATATGTATCTTGCCATCAACGCCGCAGTCAGTAATCTCCATTTCAAAATAGCCTACTTCAGCTGTTAGTTTGGACCCTGATATCCACAATCCTATTTTTCCAACAGCAAGTTCTGGGGCATAACTTTACAACACCAATAAAAATGGTAATTAGTTGTCTTAACACAGAATACAGTAAAATGGATTGATATATGGTTTCTACAACAGTTCTGGCAATAAGAAAGTGAACTAGTATCAAATTCTTACCTAATAAACTCATTGTCATCGGTGCAAACATTGGCATGCCGGCAGACACTGGGAGTCCTCTCAGTGCCTGCCTCCTCACTGCTACCCGCAGAATCATGACAATCTTCATCAGTTCTGATTGTTGCTGCTCCTGACCCACCCTGGCCTTCCATTTTCTTTTTTTCATTCAGAGTGTCAAAAATTTTACGAAGGGCCACGACCAAGTTGGATTGCCCAAAGAACTTGGGACGTATGCAGCTCTGCATTAGACACAATCAGCTGATTGAAAAGAAAATATTTGATGACGTATTAGTGGCTCATGCTAAAACACAGGAGATATTCCAAATTTTGAACTAAGAAAGGTCAGAAAACAATTCTAAACTGGAAAAATTGGAGAAAAAGTTAGAGTAACTTACACTAGTAGAAAGAGCGTTATCCAAACACCTCATCTGTTGTGAAATTTCATTTTTCTTGGTTTTGTTTTGAGTTGTTGATAGGTTAGGTTAGGTCACAAATGCACTTAATCTTGAATTTCTTCGAGTCACGGGGCATATTTCTTTTGAAATATACAGGTTACATCATACTAGAAACAAATGTCGACAATTCTGGACCTTATTCTTGGGAGATAGGCTAGCCTGAATGTGCCCTGCCGTTAAAAATCCATCAAAACAAAATCCGAAGTTGAACGAGCCGTCTGCTAGTGCTAATGCTGCTGGAACTCTAGGAAGTGAGAGACTCGGAAATGGACCGTGCCCCGGCTAACACTCCCAGGGTACAACTTCCGTGGAGAGCACTAGGCTTGGTGAACTTAGAAAATGGCGGTGTGCAGGGCTTAGCGTTTGCTCAGGTCGGCGTGTTCGTCTTTCTGTTTGGATAATCTCTGTATTTACGTTGCTAACTTAATTTTGGCAAGTGACTTTGGAGCATTTCGCCCTGCACATTTTTGTAGTACGTTTCATGTTGAACTGTCAGAGTTAGAAGAGGACTTTCGACTCGGCTTCTCCCCTCGGGGATAATCGTACCGGAGCCTAACAAGTGAGTGATTTGATAAACTTCGTTCATTCATTTAAAATTTATTATTTCATTAGCTGACGTAAAGAAATCTACTGGAACGTCAGCATATACTTCGTTTTTAAACAGCTTTGTAGTATCTCCACTTCGTTAGTTTAACCGCTTTTGTTTTGATGCCGAATGCAAAGGCGTAAAAGTGTGGTTAAGAATTCTGTAAAAAATTTGGTGTTGAAAAGAGCGATTGTAATTGTGTGGTAATATAGGGACACCTGTCCGTTAACCGTTGCCACCCTTGTCGTCCTCGACTCAACACTGCTCAGGTCGTGAGTCGGCCGTCATCTTCGGAACACTAGGGCCCGTTGCATGCAGGCGAATTTCGCGCGGCGAGGAGAGCCTAACTTTTTTCGTATGAATATTTTTTCCCCCCTCTCAAATGATTAATTTGGCTGTTTTATGTGCCAGACTTGGTAGTCACCTTACTTTTAGATCCGCTGGAACAGTCCAAGTATGATTTATTTAGTAGTTGACATATCGTTCTGTTGGATCCTGAGCTCGTTCGTTGTATGTGGACCTTTCATTAGATTGAGTTTTGCCTGGCCGGATAATTTGGATGGTTCATTGTCATGAGAGACCCAGTACGTTTCTGCACATCGGCCTTATATTCCCATGTTTTAATAGTAATGTCCGTAAAAACGTCTTCACTTCTCAACACAAGCTTTAATGTCTTGTCACTAATACAAATGAATAGCAATTGTGTTCCCCTAATTAGTTTGGCTGTTGTTTTTGCTGATTCTATTGCGGCTAATGTTTTTGAGCCAGTGGATCTCATGCCTACTGGCCATACATCTCAAAATATGTATAACACTTGAAATCACTGCCAAGTTGTGACTTGATCGAAGTTCACTTAAAGAATTTGGAATCTAAATTTTGTCTGGAGCTGCTCACCCTTGTTCATTATTAAGTTTTTCTTTTGTGTATCATGTTATTATTTTTGTTTTTCTTTTCCTTAGATTCCATAGAGGGCCGTGAAGACTTTGGATGTAAAGATGACCAAGCAGAAGCAATTTCCTTGAAGATCATGAAAGAAGCAGCAACTCAGTAGAGTATTCTGGCGATCAGGATTAAACAAGTGTCAGGAATCTGGGATTTAGAGTTGTATTTACAGACTGAAGCAAGAATTGAAGAGGACTGAAGACACCACAAGTCAATATGGAAAGGGGAAGGTTTATGAGGGATAGAGACATGGGGAGAGGGAGGGGGAGATGGAATGCAGAAAGAGGGAGTCCTGCTAGCCCAAGGTAAATGGATTTTGTCTGTACCGTTTCTTTTCTATTTAGGTTTCAGCCATATTTCATCTGTCTAACAAATTCAATTTATTTTGCAGAGGTCGTTTCCGTGGAGGAGATCGATCCAATTGGGGCAACCATGGTGGTCGAGATCATCGAGAACGTAAATTCAGAAGTCCTCAGGGTAGGAGATCACGATCTCATTCTCCTCAGCGGAAAAGGGTTCGCTCTAGATCATCTTCTAGGTCTCGCTCCAGGTCGCGAAGTGACTCTCCCAGAAATAGAAGGAATTTCAGCCGTAGTCCTTCTCCAAGGTGAGTTGTATTTCTTCACACCTAATTTTCTTTTTGTGTTTTTCCATTCTACCATTTTTTTTAGTAATTTTTTTATTTCTCTGCAGGAATCGAGGGAGAAATGTAAGTGGTTCCCGCAGCAAGACGCCACCCAGCAGGCAACATGTACAGACTTCTTCTGGCTATGCTCAGCAGGTACATCATTCTTCATCGTACACCTCGTACAATGAGGTACATTACAAAGTTGTGCCCATTTGTACGATCTATCCTATATACACCCTGTGTATGATGCATCAAACTGAACCGTATTGTGTTCTGTTGAATCATTGCAGGATCCCTATCGTGGTACACATCCTCCGGGAGTTGACTCACCTGTAGTTCGCCAACAATATCCTGCACCATTCCAGCATCAGACAATTGCTCCTCCGGGAATAACAGCACCTCCTCAAGGGCACCCTCCAGGGCCACCTCCAGGATACCCCGCCTATGACAGCTACTATCAGCATCAACCACCACCTTCACTTTACCCGCCAGGAGTGATGGTAAGAGAATTGTAATAATGTAATAGTCCTTCTGCACCGTTCCCTCCCTTCCACTCTCATTGAAAGTTTTCTTTGAAATAGAAGTACATAGTACACAGGCGTGAGTGCCTACATATATCTGCTCTTTCAAACTTTGCTTTTATTCAAATTCCAATTTGTTTGAAAAAAGATAAATATTATTCCAATCATAAATAGTTTTTCATCTTTTATGATTATCTAATGAAAAGCTTCAAAATGCAGCAAGGTCACTAGCCAAAATTCCAACAAAAGGTTCCTTGCAAAAAGATGAGACATTAAGACTGCCTCTTAATGAAAATTTTTCTTTCCTTCATCCTAAATATTCATGTCGTACAAAAATTATTTATTACAAACAGTATGTCTGATGTTTGTTCCTGCATGTCATCAATGGCATTTACTTGTAAGTACATTGTAATGTATTAAATGGGTGTTACTTAAAGTACTTTTATCCGATGCAGTGCAGGTAGCTCCACTAAGCTAAGAATGCCTCTGCAACATGTATGCTGGTGCCTTTAACAGAGAACTTGAGTTGTGAAGATGGGGTTTCAAGCATGTCTCTCATATTATTATTTTTCCTGTACATCTTTGAACTATTTTACATTATCAATCCCCTTCTGGTAACGAGAGAGCACCATTTTCTCATCACCTGTACTGTCAAAAATTGAATGAAGATGCCGGTAATTGTGTATTGCGACTAGAACTGTGTCAAATTCGAAATGTGCGGAACCCTGGCTGGTTGTAGCAGTAATCAATTTGTACACTGGCAGTCACTTCATAACTAATAATCATCTGAATATGTGACAAATTTCCCTCATTCTAAGATGTGTTCTAAAGGTGAGTTCTTTATTTTAGATGACGATGCTCAAGGATACTCCAGGATATTGCCTGAAGGTTAATGTTCACGAACTTTTCCTAATGTAGGCTCAAGTGCGTGTCTTTGATCTCTTTCAACTGTTATTTGGGGAGGGAAGCTCACTCATGGCTTTTGGCACACCTAAATTTTTTACAAACCCCATCAAACTCAGTGTAAACAGGGAAAGGGTCTTGCACTGTTCTTATGTGAGTGTCATTTTGTCAACTTAATAAAGCTGCAGAGGTTTTAAGAAAATTTAACTTTCTTGCAGGATTATATGACAACGCAGGCCACAGCACCTTCCTCGATGTCTTGGTCTGCTCCTACATCTGCACATGTTGCTGGTTAGTGGTTTGAAGATGTTTCGTTATGTACTGTGTTTTATCATCTATCTTATTTTATCAGTCATATGGCTACTAATTATAGACTCCATCAATTTTGTGGTCAGCTTATTAGTTGAAGCGAATCACAAAGTTATGTGACCAATGCTAATGGAAACAAACCTGCTGTGTATGGCTCCTTGCATGAAGCGTCAAACTCTCCACAGCTTTATCTTTGTGGTAGAGCGATAAGGATCATAAATTTGTCAAGACAATGTGTACTTCTCAAGTTTTTTCTTTTTGAACCCATCCGTCATGTGCTTCAATAATTGTACTTTCAACATGGGCTCTGAACTCTTGAAGCTTTATCTTTGACCCTTTGTACTTCTTTTAAATTTTGTTATTACCAAATGTGTTTCCAGACATCGTGCATAATAGTTCTGCACCCACACCTGTCCCAGTACCTGTTCCAATGCCTCAAGCCCATGATTCAAATCTCAGTGTGCCTCCACCTCCAGGAACAGCAGATGAATCTGTCAAGCAAGAAGGTTTGTAATGGGGAATTCACGGCATTGTGTCTCCTGTTTGCACTGTGACTATTATTATTATTATTGTTGCTGTTATCTTCCAGCTATTGAACGTGAACAGCGCACTCAGAAACAACATCTGCTGACTCAACGTGAAGATTACTTAAGGAAGGCAAAAGTGTTTGATCGAGAGCTAGGATTGCTTCGGGGACAAGAAGAAGAACTGTCATCTGAAAGCTCTCGAGATAATGAAAGGATTCTTCTTGAAAACCATAAACTGCAGGTTTGTTAATCAAATGTCGTCTTTGTGCCACATGGGGCAAAAGGCCTCTGGCCCCCCCTTTCTGGTTGTGCAATTTTTATGGCTTATGCGCAGTGGTGAGTATTTATTATTAAAAGTATCTTCTGTTTTCTCGGTTTTATCCCAATCTAGGTTGAGATCCAAAATAAGTTGAAGGCCATCCATAATGTCATTGACATGCTGACAGGGATAATTGGTGACAGCAAGGAGCAAGCTCAGAGAAAGATTGAACTTGATGGAGAGAAGGTAAGATCAAAATCTGGAATTCAAAGGCTTTCTTTCAAAGTCATCTGAAGTTTTAGTTCACTTTCCTAATCTATCATTTTTTGCTCAGGCTGCTAAGAAGAAGGGCAGAGAGGTGCGTGAACGTTCCAGATCAAGTGGTAAAGCTCAATCACGATCATCATCAAGTGACTCATCCGCAGAAGAAGTTAAACAGATAGAGAAACCTGACAGCACATCTCCGGAAGAAGATTTTCAAAAGTACAATTATATTCATTTTGACCCTGAAAATCATTGGTGCAGGGTTTGCAATGCCTTTCCCCGTACTGCTAAGGAATATTTGCATCATTTGCATAGTGCAGATCACAAAGATCAAATAACGGTAAGATACATTAATAGCTTATTGTTTACTTTTGATAATATTTAAGTGTATTTGTCTTCTAACCTTCCGCTCATGGTTGCAGGTACGTAAGTTGGTAGATATGCCTTGGCACAAGGACCACCCAGCTGAGGAAGTGCCTCAACTCCCTGGAGCTCCAACCAAGAGGACTCCTATCAAAGGTACTGTATTTTATGGTTTCACTGTAAATTGTAGATAACGTAATTTAATTTAGAAATGTAAGTTGAGCAACCGAGGAAACAGAGACAAGATGAAGTGAGTTTAACAACTATCAGTTGTGTTACTTGATTAAATTTCATAAGGTAAGAATCCTTTCTTTTTTTTTTGTCTGTGTGTATGTTATTTGGTTACATGATTACCAACACCCAGGTAAGAATTGAAAAATCTTCTGCTTATAATGTCAACAACTCCAGACAGCTTGCAAGATCTTTGAAGACTGATTGAACTTTTGGCTTAAGCTTAAGTAATAAACCAATATTGGGAGCATCAGACATCACATTACTTGAATTAATTCCCCCTTTTTATTTCAAATCTTGAAATGGTTATGTTTTAATTCTTGAGATGTTAGCTTTTCATTTGTAGCTTATTAATTGGTCCACAAACAGCAGCTACTTTTTATATTTAAAATAAAATGACTGATTGCTAGTCCCATCTACAAAATGTGAGGGCCTTCCATGTTCAGCACATATGTCTGCTACTTGTTTCTTTTTTGTTATTTGTGACTTGTTTGTGAAGGTTTAATAAATAAATTATTGATACCAATTTGGGAATATTTTTTTATCTGTTACATTGTTATTTTCTTGTCTCCAGAAGTTTGCTTAACCAAAATCTATTTTCAGATATCTGTTATTGTTTTTGTTCTCTTTTTTCTTAATATTGAATTTGATTTTGGGTTGTGTATCTGATTACAGGATTGCAGTTCTTCATCTCTGCTCCAGCTTGGTACTGCAAACTGTGTGCTGTCTGGATGGGTGACCTACACTGCGCTTCTATTCACTTGAAGTCCAAACAACATGCTGCCAAGTATCATGTGAGTTCATAGTACAATCTCACACACCATTTCATAACCATATGTTTTATTTCATTATTTTATATTTTAAATTGTGTTAAAGGACTACCTCAAGGAAAACTCAGGATGGGAGTCCAACTGGCTATCAGAGAGGGAGCAAGCTTATGAGCGCCTTTCGGAGGTTAAGAATGACAAGAAGTCAGATGGGCATCAGGTATGTCGGAAATTATCACCCACAGTTTAAACTAGCACTGATACTAACAACATATAATTTACCTCATAGGTATCAAAAGAAAAAAAGTCAGACTTTGCTGATCCACCTGCTAAAGAGCGTCTCTCTCGACTTGAAAGGAGTGAAAAAGCTGAGCCTAAAGCTAAGAAAAGGGACCGCTCATCCAGTGCATCCAGCTCTGCATCCGCTGATCGCAGTCAAGACATTGAAGCTACTGGTGGCTGGGTAAAAGAGCGAGTACGTGAAAATGATAAGGATAGGGCCAGAATGCGAGAAAAGGAGAAGGGTAGAGAAAAAGCTCGAGGCAGAGAGAGGGACATTAATGAATGCGATTCTGAAACTGATAAGTCAAAAAGTATCAGAGTGGCTATGAGGAACAAGGAATCTCGACACAGTATTGAAGTAAGTATGCAAAGTCTTGATCAATGCAGGTGCGGCTCCAAGAGGTTGCTAAGGGTGTTCTTAGGAGTGCTTTTTGCAATCTTCAGGGCAAATTAATGCTTTTTTTCCCCACCTTTCAAGCGGATTGGCTGTATTCTGGGGGGTAATCCCCCTCCCCTTCCCCATGGAGTCGCACCTGGATCAATGAAAGTATCTTCATGTATTTTTCAACTAACACATCATCATCTTTTTCTTTTCTAGAAGTCATTTGTGGAACCTACTGAGCAAACAATGGTAGCATCCTCAGCTCAACTGAAAAGTAAATGGGATTCACCTGATCGCAAGAATGGAACTAGTCCGTCCCGCACAGCCACAGCTGGTCGCCATCCTAACGCTCCAGTGGATGATCGCATGATGAGAGAATGGCTCCCTGTTGAAGAACCAGGCAATCAGCTCTTAAGCAATCTGAAGGACCGTATGAAACGCAAAAATGTTGACAACCACAAAGAAAGAGAGCCTGACAGAGAGTCGAAAGGAGACAAGGACAGAACTCGTAGGGACAAAAACTTTTATCCGGAACCTCAGTATGGTAGAAACAAGTTTTCTGGAGATGTTACCCCACCAAAAAATAGAAGATCAAGAGGAACCAATGAAGATACAAGATGGGATTCATCTGCACGAAGTGGAGGAGCAATGCGAGAAAGTCCTCCCCCTCACCGAAGAATGAATGAGAAAAACAGGGACAGAGAACGTGGAGATCGGCACAGAGAGAGAGACCGAGATGGAGACAGAGATCGTGACCGTGAGCGGGACAGAGATCGAGATCATGAAAGGGGGCGCGACAGGGAAAGAGGAAGAGATGAAGATGTGCGACACCCTCCCCAAAGAGAAGAGGAGGACGAGGAAACTCACTTTGAAAAGCAGAGTGGAGAATATAGGAAAGGAAGAAAACAGCAACAACCGGTTCTTACAATTAAGTCCAAGTTACCATTCATAGGACGAATGCCAGTATTCAAGAACTTTTCAAAGAAGGGTAATGATGACAAATCCAAGTCTGATGAAAACATGTCGCCACCTCATGGTGCTAACATGTCTCCTGGCACTACAGACTCAACTCCTGGCAAACATATGTCTCCAGGAATGGGTGCTTCTAGTATATCCTCTACACCAGATGGAACCTCATTGAAAGAGCGTATCAAACAGCCTATACCAAGTGCAGCTCAAATCAATGCTAGCATAATGGAATATCAGGCTAGGCTTTTAGATGGCACTGCAACACTGGAGCCCCCAACCCTTATCAACCCTGTTTCTCTATCAGGCACTCCCATGCCCAAGTCTACTTTAATATTGTCAAAAACACCAGCTGTATCCATAGATAATTTAATGAAAAACAACAAAGATTCTGACAAGAAGCAGGCACTCAGGAAGCTTTCCGAACAGATGCAATTCATGGAGAAAGTTCAATCAGCACCTGCTACTACCGAGGCTGTGCCCATGGAACTTGAAGAGGAGGCTGAAAGTGGTCCAGGCCTTTCCAAAGATTTCCAGGATGCTTTGGAAATAATATTCCCTGATCCGAGCAAACCACCAGAACCCAAGGTGGACTCTGACGTTTCAGATTTACCTGATGTAAAGAACCCACCACCCAACATGCTGTCAACCATGCCAAATTTGAGTAACCCACCCCCCAATATGATGGCTACCCCAGCCGTCCCTCACATGGGAATGGATGGAATGTTCGCGCCTCAAATGAACTTGGATGGGACACCAAATCTAATGGGATCCATGCCCCCAACAATTGGCATAAGTATGGATGCATCAAGCCAGAATGCCAGCCAGACCGCAGTCCCAGGAACACCAGTGGGAATGGATGGAAGCATGCAGCCTGCACCCATGGGGATGGCTATGTACGACGGCCCTCCTGGCACCTACCCAGGAACTTACCCACCAGGCCCGATGGGACCAATGGGTCCGATGGGGCCTATGGGCCCTATGGGTCCTATGGGTGGTCCAAGAATGGGTTGCCCACCGATGGGTGGCCCCATGGGCCCTCCACCTATGGGTATGCCCCCAATGGGCATGCCTCCTATGGGACCTCCACCTATGGGCATGCAACCTATGGGAGGTCCGCGCCTGCCAACCACACCTGTCAAGAACTCAAAGTTAGATGCAGATGATATGGCAATGTTAGGTATTGATGCTGATGATATTGGTGCACAAGGTATGTGAGTTGTCATACCTTATGATTGTTAATGATAGAGTTACATCCGAGTGAGGCTTTATGAAGTATGAGAGTTAACATCTGTGTGTAATGTTTTATATTTTTGGAGACATAATTGTGCATTTGAAAATGTCACATTTAATAACTCTTAATGTTTATTCCAATCTTATTTGTGTTATGTTTAGTTTTATGTGGTACAATTGCCATTCTGTATTGTTCACATAAGTTCTGTAGTAACTACATAATTATGGTATCAATTTTAATTCACCTAAATGGTTTCAGCTTTGTATAGTAGATTTGGAATTTGTAATTAAATGGAAATTCCCAAACCAGTTTTCTTCATCATTTTCACTCGAGACGACTTAAAAGTTACCTTGTCTGCGGTCTCATTTTTTTTTTTTTTATATTGGGCGAGTTGCAAACTAAAGGCCTGTTGGGGTAGGTGATGGAAACCTAGAGCATTTTATTGCTATTGTCATGTAAAGGAAAGATAAAACATGTTCAAATGCACGAATCCAGACAGACATTTGCGGTAAGGGAATGCCAAAACCGCCCCAGCCCATCCACCCTCTTGTGGGGTGTCGCCCTTCACCAGGACCATCAACTCTGATGGTACTCTCTAAAGCAAGTTACCCAGGGTATTTGATTTGAACAGCTGTTATCCAAGCTGTGGCCAGTTTTTAGTTTCCACACAGACATCTCGAACCACACAGACATCTCAAAATCAGCTTGGTTGGCCATGACCATACTCTCTTCAGGAGAAGTACTGTAACTATTTTCCTAGTTTAAAAGTATTTAACCCAGAGATTGAGATTATTTTACTTGGCTGAGGTCAATAACAGATACTTAAATTTTAATTCTTTCTGTTCAGGTTAGTGTTTAAGTGTGCCATATGTAGTTGGTTGCTTGGTACTAACTGCCCTTGGCCATTTCTGAGTAGTGGTGCTTGTGTGAATGCAGGTAATTTGAATTCATAGGAAAAGAAAGTTCAGAACAAAAGTTTATTCATAAGGCATTCATACTTTTATGCATTCGTAAGTTTGTCTCAATATGGCCCTTATTCTTATTGAACAAAATGCAAACAAAATAAGTCATAATAACATAATTTTTGACTCAATAAACCATGATTTTTGTAATAAGCTTTCAGCATAGAGGGCACAGCACATAGAATGTCATTGTAACACAGAACATGCATTCGCAAGTTTCTCTAACATGAAACTCACACATTCACAATCACTTCCTGTTTTTTTTTCTCAATGTTCCATCACATCTCCTGGGCGTATTCTTTAATAATACGGCCACAGATGGTCCGTGATTGAATGGACAGTGTGAGCGAGTATGCGCTACGTCACCACTCGCACCGCACAACTCACACCTGCAACAGGAAGTTTGTTGAAAATTACTCTTTTCCATTCATGTACGGGAGCTAGCGAGTCAAGATAACTGTGGACTTACTTGAGACTTCGGAGGACTTCACAAGTCACGACAACTGTGCCATCTGGCAGTTCCGTGTGTAATGCGTGGCTCAGGTAGGTCCTTGCGAGCTCACCATTGCCTCTACAAAAGGCACAAAACATGCCTAGAGAAAATCCTTTAAATTAAACATTTGCGAGTAACACCATTGATGAAAGTGGTCAACAAAGAAAATACGCACCGGATTTTCTCTGTCCATTCTTTCGAGGTTTCGAGTTTCCACCAGGCTGCTGCTGCTGAGGTTGCATCCCCCCACATGATCCTTGCAGTTGGGCCATTGCCAGGGCCAGGGCATCACTGTGAAAAATTTTAAAACATGTGATGCTGGCAAACGCAGAAATCAAAGTCAACATGTAAGCGCCGCAGTACGCAGTACTCACACGTCCGAGGAATCAAGCATCGAGGCTCCTGGTGGGGACGACGACGACGGTGAGGAGCTGGACAGACCAGCCGACAGCGATCCCATGGAGCCCAAGGACCCCGCCACCCCCGCCACCTCGGAGGCCGGGGCCGAGGACGCGTAGGCCGCCTCCGTCCTGGCGCCGAACGAAGGCAGCTGGGCCTCGCGTCGCTGCTGGCGCTGCTGGGGGCTCTGGTCTTGGCCAAGGCCGTCCTGGCCGAGACCGCCCTGGCCGAGGCCGCACAGGCCGACACTCTGCCACGACCACACCGGCAGCTCCTGGCGGCTGGCTCCCGGGGCCGACGATCCTGGCCAGGATGCCGAAGGCGGGGGGCTTCGGGGCAACGGCGAGCAGGGCGCTCGGTCCAGGCCCGCTTGACGTGCTTGACGTGGTCGGAAGAGCGGCCCAAGCGAGAGCGGCACTGGCGACGACACCGGGGGCGGCGGCACGCTTGGGGGCAGGCGTCTCGGCGGCGACGAGCTGGTGCTCCTCGGCGAGGTGCTGGAGCCCAGGCTGGAGCCCAGGCTGGAGCCCAGGCTGGAGCCCAGGCTGGAGCCCAGGCTGGAGCCCAGGCTGGAGCCCAGGCTGGAACTCGGCGAGCATGTGCTGCTGCGCAAGCTGGGCGCGTCTCCGCGGGGGGCCGACATCGCCGACATGCGGCGCGCGGGGGCGCGCAGCCGCGGCCAAGAGAGGTGGTGCTGCAGGCCGAGGCGGTGCATGGTGGCCACGGAGACGGGCGCGGGCGGCGTGGCGGACCGCGGCACCGGGCGCAAGGCTGGCATCTCCTGCAGGGGCGGCGCGGGCGCGGGCAGCGCAGAGGGGAGGAGCCCCCGGTTCACGACGATGGCCCGGCGGACGTTGTCTGCGGCACGTCAAAGCAAAAAGACGCGCTCGCTGCAGTTCCTTTCCATAAACAGGGCCATATATCATCGCTCTGCCTCTCTCACACTCGTGGGGTGTCCCGCGGGCTGCGAGAGAGACAGTGCGACGAGGCACTGTTCGGAATCGGGCTGCTGGAGAACTTCCTGGAGAACATCCCAACGCACTGCACACTCACCTCTAGCGGAGTCCATGGCGGCTGCGGGCGGAGGTCTGTCCCTATCTCAGCTGGAGGGTCCTTACGCGGCCAGCGTTGCGTCTCAACTGGCGGCAGGACTTGGCCTCCCCCGCAGGCGGCGGGCGCGGATGGCGCGGAGTGGAGTCCTGCAGCGGGGGAGCTTTCGGCGGGCCGACGGTGCCGACGGACGCGGGGCGTGCGTGGGAACGCGGGGCGGCGGGAGGCAAGGCGGGAGGGGTGCGGGGCGGCGGGGGAAGGCCACGCCGCGGTCACGTGACCGGGCTGCCGGCTCCAGCGACTCCAGCGGCCGCCATTTTGCCTTCGAGAAACGCGGCAGCGCGCTGGAGGAGGCCGAGCCCAAGCGCGACGCGTAGAATCTAACTTTCAGTTTTCGCGTCTGAATAGTTCTGATGCGGGCAGTGCCCCAAGTGCCCCTGCCTCACACGGGACTCTTCCTTTCTCCCCCCTGGCGCGATAACGCCCTGACGACTTTGCTTTCCTTCGCCAGGCTGGCTGGAGTCGTTGGTTTGGATGCCGCGGCACATCAACATTTTGAGTTTATTGCGGGGCATAAACGCGGCTACGTATCGTGCAGCCGACTGATTTCGAGGATCGTTTTCGTCGCCCTGTCTCTCTCTCTCTCGCCTGTGAGGAACGGCCCATGAGTGCGAGAGAGACAGAGCGACGAAAACGACCCTCGGAATCAGTCTGGCCTTACGGACGGCACTCCCCCGACCGCACCGCACGCACTCAAAGGGCGGCGTTCCGGTGCGGCGTGGCGCGCGGTGTGAGATGGAGAAACGCCAAGTAAGCCAAGTTGTCGTCAAGGCGGCATGCGGCGGCCGCCTCTGCCGCTTCCAGGAAGCAGGTACAGACTTAGAGGATGCAGACAAGGATTACGCCGCCGCCACCGGCCGGCCGGCGCGCGTTGCGGCGCGTTGCGGTCCTTCGCCGCTGGCCTGCAGGCAGGCGTCATCGCCGTGCTGGCTGATCCAGCGTGTCCCTGCGAAAGGCAGCGCGCCGCTCGCCGCGGGGCTCCGGGGGGGAGACCCCGCTCCAGGAAGGGCCACACCAGCAGACAGATTTCCAGAGTAGTTTTCGCCGCTCTGTCTCACTCTCAATCGCGGGAAGTCCCGGCCTGCGCGAGAGAGGGCTCGGAGTGAGTCTCCTGGAACTGGAACCCTTGCGGCCCGCACGGGGGCTTAGCACGCGTCGCCTCGTTTCATTCCAGTCGCCCGATTCCGCTTCGCGCACTCGTCGCTCTGTCTTTCTCGCTCCCCTACGGCCTACGGCACACCCCATGGGTGCGAGAGAGACAGAGCGAGTAGTGTGGAAAGCGGGCTCGGACTAGTCAGGCTTCTCGCGATGCTCTCGCGTTCTTAGGACCAACGCCGCTGTCACGGCCTAAGCGCCTAAGGCAGCCGAAGGCCGGCCGCATGGCTGCGGGTTTGATTCCCGACGACACTCTACAATTTTGGGCACTGCCGTAAAGCCCTGCAGTTTGAATCCAAAGGACGATTTCGTCGCTCTGTCCCTCTCGCACCTCTACGTAACGTCCCATGAGTGCGAGAGAGACAGAACGACGAAATGGTCCTTCGGCATCGCTCGGCTGCTTGCAGCCTGCTTGCGTCAACAGCGCGGGCCTGCCGGCCTGCCGCGGCCTGGAGGAAGATGGAGGAGAGGACGAAGCAGTGAGTGAGCAGCAGGACGAGGTGGGAGGAGCTTCGGCGCGGCAGCGTTCCCCTGCGTTCCCCCACCGCGCCGCCTTCGCTCTTGGCTCCGCTGCGGGCGGTCCATCTCCCCCCTCTCCCCCTCCTCGCGCGCCGTGCCCGCCCGCCGCGCCCTCCCCGCTTCCCCGCCGGCCCGGGGACTGCCGGGCTGCCGAGGCTGCCGGGGCTCGGCGCCGTGCTCGCCGCTTGGCCCTGCTTGGCCTTCGTCGCGAAGTCCTCCGTGCTCCGCTGCTCACTTTGCGTTTGCCACTCGTCTCGGCTTCGTCTCCGTGCCTCTCCGCTCCGTGCCCCTCGCGAGCCCACGCCCCTCCGAAACGCCCCGCCCGCCCTCCCAGCGCCGCCGTCTGTTCTGCTGCTGATCAGCTCCGCGGAGTGCAACCAGTGAACGTGAGTACTTTCCCCTATTTTTACAGCGGGCTTTTTACCCACTTCTCCATTTTAGAGAGCTTGAAATTTCCCTGCAGTTAGCGCCTCGGACAAAGTGAGTTAAAACAGCTTAGTGAAAAAAATAAAATTAAAAGTAATTTGAGCCTCCGGTGCACAATTTTGAACTGCCGCGCCGCAGTGGATTCCCCTCTCTATTTGCGTTCGTGCGTGAGAGGGCAAGTGTGTGATTTTCCCTGTGTAAATTTTCCGCCGCCCGCGCGCGCGCCGTACAGTGCGAAGAAACCCTTCTGGTTTAAGCGCGAGGCAGCGCGTTCAAGTTTCCTCCAGCTCCTCGTGTCCCTGTTGGTCGCCCCCTCCCACCCTAGGCCGATTCCCAGGAGTCGTTTCCGTCGCTCTGTCTCTGTCCCACTCATGGGCCGAGACGTAGGGGCGCGAGAGAGACAGGGTCGGCCGTCCGCAGTCAAAAGTGCGCGCCGATCGTTTGAAACGCACAGTGCCATGGGCCAGGAGACCGCCGGCGGCGGCCAAAACTCTAGACGCGTTTTGAGATCCAGAGTCGCTAAATGGGACTCGAACCGAACGTGTGACCCCATCAAGGGATTCCTCGTTCCGAGAGCGATGCATTGGTGGGGTCACACGTTCGGTTCGAGTCCCATTTAGCGACTCTGGAGCTCAAAACGCGTCTAGAGTTTTGGCCGCCTCCACCGGTCTTCTGGCCCACTGTGAACCGCTTACGTCGTGTTGCAGGGGCCCAGCTTCGATTCGCCGGTTCCCTGCATCCTCGATGGAGGCCCAAGGTGCCTGGATCCTGGAGGAGGCCGAGGACCTCGGCACGCTGCTGGACTTCCTGGAGGAGCCCGAGAGCAGCTTCGGCATGGAGGACTCCTGGACTCTGGTTGAGTCAGAAACTGCCGGCCTGCTGGACGAGTCACTGCCGCCGTCTTGTGTCCTGGAGGAGCCCGCCAGCTTCGGCATGGAGGCCAAGGACTGCTGGACCGTGGAGGAGGACTACACCACCTGCAAGCTGCTGGAGTACGAGGACGGCCCGGCGCTGGCTGGATCCTGCTTCCTCGAGACTGACGAGCAGGACCAGCAGGACTTCATGGAGGCTGACAGTGGCTTCCAGTCTGGCTGCAGCTCCATTAGCCACTCGTGAGTACCGATATTTTCAGACAATTCTATCACAGTTTGGTCACTGGCCCGGTCTCCGCAAAGCCCTGGGACAGCGAGCCGTAGGGCCCAGGCTTTCGCAGGCTTCTTTGGCATCCTGTGCTGTGCTAGGTAGGGGGTATGCGTAAGCATCAGACAACCCTGCATTGCACCGGCGTGTTGCAGCTGCAGCACTCCCTTACGTCCTGCGAAGTTCGATTTCCTTGACTCAAGTTCAACTCATTTAAAATTTGTGCTAGTAGATTTTTTTCATGCAAGATAATCCTGCGAGCCAAAACGCGCAAATCTAAAGCAAGTTTTAAAAAAAGCTATTGACAATAATATTTTTGTGTTGTTTCAAGACAAGTTTTGCTTGTCCTCGGTATTCATGCATTTTGTTGATTTGCATTCAGTGCTCTGAATTTTGTTGATATTATTCTTTTGACTTTATATTTTTTTAATTGTGTTGCAGTCGGAAGACTAGTGAGTCTAATGGATTGGAGTCCGAGTGGGCTCCCAATGATGTCATTTTCTCTACGCCATCCGTCTCCTATCCGTCCTATGGCATCAATCCGTGCTTCAACATATGGAGTCCTTCATCTGACGATGAACCTCTAATGGTGAGAGAAATATTATTAGCAGTTGCCTTCAGGTTATTCTTAGTCCGAAATTGATTTTAACGCGATGACTTCTAATTGCGGCAGGTGGCACTCTCCACCCGCACCAGCTCATCTGTAACTCACTGGGAATCGGATTCCTATGAGTGGGGCGATTTTCAGAACTGGAATGCAGTCCCATCACCTGCTGAAGCGGTAAGTTTGAATTTTACAATCTCTCTGTAGAAGTTGGTGGAATATTTAAAAACATACCTAGTAAAGAATTTTCTTTTTACAGGCCGTCTTGCTTGAGTTGCAGAAGAAAGAGGAGGAGGTCATACACGCCAGGGCTGCGGCAAAAAGGAGTCTAAAGAAGGCAAAGTTCTTTGCCAAAATTAATGCCAAGGTTTTTGCCCGTAAGGATAGAATTAGATCTCGTCTTTGAATGATTTGGCAGATATATGTAATGTTATATTGTTGATTAATTTTAGAATACAGATAATTTTAATTGCCAGCCTGGTTTTGCTGTTTTTTCTGCTACCCTAATTTTTTCACCCAAGTTGTCCTTTTGAATGGAATATTGCTGAGGATACAGACAAGATTTTTATTTAAAACAACAAATTTTTATTAAAATTTGATCTTTTGAGAACAGTAACTTGCATACAGTAGTTATTGGTTGTGCAATATTCACAAGCTGTCTTCCTTTCACAAGATACTTACTGGAAAAAACATATTTTCACTTGAAACAACAAATTTTAATTTATATTTTAACTTGCAAACAACACTTGTAAAAAGTTGAAACAGTCAGTTATACATCATACACTATTATTTCATCCAACACGTTTAAGCAATAGTAGCAAATGAGAATTAGGACAATAAATACATTGGTTCTGCAAATCTATCACTTCCACCAACACATTTGCCTTAGAAGCAAATTGAAATTAGGACACATACAGCAATGATGCTCCATAAAACATAATCAGCAGATTTTCAAAAATGCCATACTATACAATAGAAATCTTATCCACAACACAAACTGGAAAATTACGAACACAACACATGATTCAAAATTAAGTCAAAAATAAAGTAAATGATAAAGAAATAAAATACTCAGATTAGAAAAAAAAAGTCAAAAACAGTCATAACATAATTAAAGAAAAGATCTTTTAGATCCATCACACCTTCGTTGGGTACTCTTCAAAATGGTTGCAACCGGTAGAAGGGACATGCCCATTGGACAATGAGTCCTAGTGTGAGCTCGATCACCAGTTGAGCCACAAATTTCACACCTGCAACCCCAAAAAAATCAGAATAACAGAAACAATTTTCAACAAATAGTTTAATAAAACTAGCAAAATAAGCAAGATTTATTCAAGCCCACCTCAAACTTCTTAGAACTGGACAAATGACTCGAATGGACCCATCTGGACTGCGTTCATTAAGCCCGTGGGCGGTGTAAGTCTCCTTCCGCTCCCCATTCTTCTTACAGAATGGACAGAAGACTGTAGGAGAAAAGAAAAACATAGATAAGCGACCACAGCTTGGGAAAAAAATGCATGTAATGGCAATAATCAAAATCTGAATAGTGGTGACTGTAAGTGACTGTAAATGATTACTTGATTACTTCTGCAGGTGCCCCAAAACAGTCAATCTCATTTACCATTACTATTTTTAGTTGAAAATTGACAGTAATTGATAGTAAAACTGACCCATTCAGCTCCAAATGTCCCTCGAAAGTCCAGATGGACTGCACACAGTTAGGCTGTACAAAGAGTATAACATGGCAGAATAATCACCTTTTTTGAATTTCTTCTTTTGACACAACGCAGAGTCCAATGGGCTGTTGTCAAGACCGCTATGCCCTGACGTTGACCTGTGGCCAAACCTTAACAAATTGAAGAAAAGAAAATAAGGAAAAAGTAAACCAGTGATACAACACTCGTGCAAATTTTGTCAGAATGTCAGAAATCCTGATCAAAATTCGGGCACCTCTGAAAGCTGGAAATTTATTCTGAATTTCTGTAGAACTTGGGTCACCATTACATGCGCAAATTTTGATCAGGATTAGTACAGACATGTTCCTGACACGCTGACAAAATTGATATGAGTGCACCAGTGCACTGGGCACGGCAGGCCGCAGGCGTACTCACACTGGGCCTCCAGGGGCCGCGCTGAGCAGCTGCTTCGCGGCGGCCGTCCTGGCGCCGAAGGACGGCAGGGTCTGGGACAGGTCCTCCGCCCTCATCGAGTCCGTGTCCGTGTCCGTCGCCGTGGAGTGCACCGCGTGCACCGCGTGCGGCACGAAGGGCGGCGAGGTGGCCGACAGCGCCGACGACCTCGACGACCTCGACGAGGACGACGTGGAGGACGCAGGGCTGGACGACAGCGACGCCTCCCTGCGCGCGGGTTGCAGCAGCTGCTGCTGCTGCTGCTGGCGCAGTTGGTGCTGCAGGATGACATTGGCGGTCAGGAGGCGCGTCCGGGCGTCCTGCAGGCCGAGGCCCTCGCGGTGCTGCACCGTGCTCACGCTGCCGGCCGCCATGGCAGTCGTCATGGTGGTCGCGCTCATGGCGCTGACGGCGGTGACTCCCAGGAGGCGCGGCAGGGCCGTGTGGAGGCCGTCGCCCTGCTGCAGCGTCTGCAGCGTCTGCAGCGCGGACACACTGGCCGCCTGGCCGGCCTGCTGCACGGGGACCAGCACCAGGACGGGCACCGCGCCGGCGCTCGGCTTCCTCTGCTCAGCCCTGGAGGTGGACGACGAGGTCGCGTTCAGCGCGGCGGGGAGCGCGTTGCGGAGGTCTGCCAAAGCCAAACACACATCGGGATCAGTCCACAAGCCGCGTCTAGTACAGTAACACTGATTTCGTCGTTTTCGTCGCTCCGTCTCAGAGACAGCGACGAAAACGACTCTCGGAATCAGTTTGCTGCCGCGAAACACAAGGGATGGCGCAGGGGCGGCTCAGGGTTGCGCCATAGGGGCGCCGTGCCGCCCTGAAGGTAGGCAACAAGCACGACACTCCACCTGAAAGTAGGCGGAAGGTGCGCCACGCCCCCCTCCGAAAAACAATTCTAGAGCCGCCCCTGGGCGGGTAGTACCTTGCCGCGACCGGTAGCGACCTGCCGCGCGCTGGACCGTGGGAAACTGTCGCGACGCGCACTCTCACACTCACACACTGGCAAACGGCAGCAACAGCTCGCCGGGAAATCGCGGAGGAGGAGAGGAAGCCGCAGGCCATGTCCGAGGAGTGGTGGCACAGTGATACTCCTTACGGCCTAGAGGAGTATCAAGAACCGCACCACTGCCACCAGTGAACGGGCCAAGATGACGCAAGGAGTGCGCGATTGGGAGTGAGATTTTAAGAACATCACATTTCACCTCAGCTCTTTCGGGCTGGAAAACGAACCAAGCGATCCTCTTCGGAAATGCGCCTCGGGTCACAGTTAGAAACGCCACCCGCAGGCAAGATCTAAGAGCATCCCTCGGCTGCGTCGCGCAGTGCCGCGGTGCGTCGGGGAAGTACGAAGTGCGCGACAGCAGTCCGATTTTACGAAGAGTCGTTTCATCGCTTTGCCTGCGAGCGAGGCAGGGCGACCTCAGAGTCGCTGGGCAGACTTATCGTCGCTCTGTCCCTCTCGCACTCATGGGGCGTCCGCTGCAGGTGCGAGAGAGACAGAACGGGGAAGGACGGCGACCGCGGGACTTACCTCCCACGAAGAACGTCATGTTGGGGCCGAGGTGCGGCGGTGGCGGGGAAGGCGGTCCTGCTGCTGCGAGTCCTGCTGCCACCAGCGTCCGAGAGTTGCTGCCGTCGTGTGCTCAAGTTGGACTTGGACTGATTGCGAGGTCTCCTCGAGTTGCGCCTCCAGGGCTGCGCTGGCTGCGACGGCCCGGCCGCTCGGCGGAGGGGCGGAGCGCGGGGGAGAGGGAGGGTGCGGCGGGGCGCGGCGCGAGGTGCCGCGGAGGCGCGGGGGGCGGCTCAGGGCTCTCAGGCCGGCGGGGGCAGCGCGGGGCAGGACGGCACCAGGGCGGCGTTACCAAGAAGCCTATCCGGGGCGGCAACAATGCCCCCTTTGCCGCCTCCCTGCGCCGCCGCCCGCCGCACCGCCAGCACCGCCAGCAGCGTCAGCACGTTTCGGCCGCGAAAACACTCGGCGGCAGTAAATGAGCGCATAATTGCCTGGATGCACAGATGTGCGCGCAGCGCCTCGCCGCCACCACCGGTCCGCCACCGGCATCGCTGCAGTGCATGCTGCAGTGCGGGGTGGAGTGCAAGCGCCTGGCGTCGGCCGGCGGCGCGGCGGCGTACGTCTGTGCAGACAGGGGAGGAACACAACGGCCTGGTGCCGCCAAAAGGCCAAACGGTCGGCCGGTGGCCCCGGCACTCGGCAGACTGATTCCGAGAGTCGCCTTCGTCGCTCTGTCTCTGTCGCACCCGCACGGGGCGCCCCATGCGTGCGAGAGAGACAGAGCGACGAAGGCGACTCTCGGAATCAGTCTGCGGGCTCCGGCCTTTTGGGGACAGGACCGGACACGTCAGCACGTCCGCGCGCGTCAGAGCGTGCTGGTGTCCAGGTGGTCTGGCTGGGGTGGCATCCGGTGGTGGCCCATGTGGTGGCCCGCGCGCTCCTGCCGTCTGATTCCGAGCACTGCTTTCGTCGCTCTGTCTCTCTCGCACTATCCCGTTAGGGTGCGAAAAACAGTGTTCGGAATCAGACGGCTGGGGACACTTCCCGACGAGCGCGACAATAGCCTGAGTCCGAGAGTCGTTTTCGTCGCTCTGTCTCTCTCGCACCTACACGGGACGCCCCATGAGTGCGAGAGAGACAGAGCGACGAAGACGACTCTCGGAATCAGGCTGCAGAAACGGCGACGCAGTCGCTGTATCTGTCAAGAGCCCCGTCGCGCGGACCGAGGGCGCTTTTATCCCCTAAGAGCAACCGCGAGAGGATGCCGCCGGTAGCCGTGAAGCGAAAGCTAAGCTTGCTGCCCCGGGGAGGCGGGGACGGGAGGGGGCAATTGCGATTAGGTGCGACACCGCGTGCGACTCGAGACGGGATGGGTGCGGGGCACGTGGCGGGGCGGGGAAAGCCGACGCCGTCAGCAGCCTCTCACTTGCGGGTGTCACTCAGCCGGACAAAGGCGCTGTAATCCCATAATAAACAAGTCAACAAACACCTGTTGCTGGAGCCGATGGGGCTCGGTGGCCCGGTCCGGATGCCGTCCGCTGGACACTGCTTGACCTGGCCTGGCTTTGAATGGCCCGGGGCCAGCCGAGAAGGCGCCAGGCCGCCAGGCGCCGTGGCACAATGGACAACAGCAGATGCAGACTTATTTCTGGAGTCGTCTTTGTCGCGCCCCATGAGTGCGAGAGAGGCAGAGCGACGAAAAGGACTATGGGAATCAGTCTGCTGCAGGGCAGAGAGTGACAACGCCGGTGAAAGAAAACCGGAGGCAGGAAATCGCATTCCGCGGCGAAGGCGTCAAAGGCCTGCCGGCCTGCCCCGTCGAGGACCACAGACTGAATCCGAGAGTCGTTTTCGTCGCTCTGTCTCTCTCGCACCTGTGAGGAACGCCCCCTGAGTGCAAGAGAGAAAGAGCGAGCAAGTGCAAGTGAAGGGCGGACAACGCCTTGTCCAGGATGCCCCTCTTGACCGCCTTGACCGCACTGTGCGATGGCCACAGCCGCATCCGCAGCGTCGGAGTCTCCGCGTTGCTCCGCGTCTGCACCGCGCCAGCAAGTCCAACCCATGTGGCAACGGTGCAAGAGGGGAAATAAAGCAAAACATTCGGCGAGGCGAGGCGGCATGGCAGCGGCGTTTCCAGGATCCCAATCTCGAGTCTCGAGGCGGCTGGCTGGTGGCGGCTCGCCTTTCGGTGCTTCGAGCCGAGCCGAGTCGCCAGGACGGCCAGGACCCAGCCGAGCCTCGCGCCTAGGCGGCGGCAAGGGCCGAGCCGAGCCGAGCCGAGCCGAGCCGAGCCGTGCGGGGGGGAAACTGGGGAAGACGGTGCGGGAGAGACGACACACGGGGCCACGTATGCCAGCGGCGAAAATGAAAAGAAAAGGAATAACGAAGAGGAGAATGCAATCTGGCAAGCAGGCCGCGTCGGCCGGCCCGGCACACCGCCGCTTTGTTTTGCTTCTTTTTCGGCCCTCGCCTGCGCACTGATTCCGAGAGTCGTTTTCGTCGCTCTGTCTCTCTCGCACTCATAGGGTGTGCCGCGTAGGTGCGAGAGAGACGGAGCGACGAAAACGACTCTCGGAATCGGTTGCTGCCCTCGCCGCCATCCTCCATCCTCCGGCAGTGTGGCAACGCTGTGCCGTTCGGCGGCCGGCCCCTCCAGGGCCCCTCCTCGCCTTCGCGCGGTGGGCCCAGAAACAGGCCCTGGTCCCGCCCCTCCCCTCCCCGCCCGAAAGGCTCGAATGGCGGCGTGCTCGTCGAGTCCTGGAGACTTCCCGGACTCCAGCATGGCTCCGGCCACACTGCCAAAAGCGTTTTTGTTTCTAACCTACCGCGACACTCTGAGTTGGCGGAGGCACACTGGAGGCGCGGTTAGCTTGCCTTGGTTGGCTGGAGACTGCAGTTGAGCCGCGGCAACAAGTGACACGTAACAACTCACACGTACTTCGCCTCGTTGAAAAACTATTTTTCCCAGCTTCTTAGGGTTTTCATAAGTTCGCTCAGGTGCCTGCACTGCAGTGCAGGCTGTGCTTTCGTCGCCCTGTCTCTCTCGCACTCGCAGAGCGTCCCGTTACGGTGCGAGAGAGACAGAGCGACGAAGCAGGTGTTTGAAATCGGCCTGCTGGTGCCCGGGGATTCCAGAAACCAAACATTGGTAAATCTGACAGCGAATTTGAGCCTTTATTATCCACGGCGTGGCGCATCCAGAGGGGGACTGGGGGGGGGGGAGTACACTTACTGCAGCAAAGTATGGCTTTTTGTCGGCTTTTTGCCTACCTCTCAGGCGGCTATCTCGAAGGGGTCGGGGGTGGGGTGGGGGAAGCCCCATTGCCCCCCCCCCATCTGTACTTACGTGACACTCCAACACGGCCCAGGCCCTCTCCACCAATACATAGTAAGTTCCGCCCGAAAATGCATTTCTAGCGCTGCGCCGCGTTGCCGGCGCGTTTCTAAATTGCCGCTCCTCGCCGTGATGACGTGGATGACGTTGGAGGAGGCGCGCTCTAGTGTCCGACACTGGAAGTGCGGGCTGTGGCCGTCGCTGGCCGTGGCCGTGGCGCTCGTCGGCAGGCAGAGCCACTGGACCATATACTGCAGCGGCACCTGGCGAAGTAGTGACAACTGTGCTGAGAGTCGCTGAGAGTCAGTCCAGTCACAACACTTCGCCGCCCTGCGTTCACCTGCGCCCCCGCCCCAATGCCTAGTTCCAGTGAGTACTCGGCGCGCCTGACTTTGCGCGCCCGTCGCGTGTTTATGTTTTGGTCCAGGCCGACGGTGTTGATGTCGTGGGCCGGGCTCCGCGGCCGCGCGCCGTCCAGCAGACGGATTCGTTTTCACCGCGCTGCCTCTCTCGCACTCAAGGGGCGTCACGTACAGGTGCGAGAGAGACAGAGCGACGAAAACGTGTCTCGGAATTAGTCTGCAGCCGCCGCCGCGCTTTTTCTGTTTATCGTTGTGGTGTTTACGTTTTCTCTTGTTTCGCTGCAGCGCGAGGACGCGGACGTCGGTCGGCAGGCCTTGTAGACCTTGCTGGTCTTCCGTGGCTCGCCGGGCCCGTCCCTGGAGTCCATCGGCTTGCCTGGCCTGTGCCTGGCCTCGCCCCACTGACGGACTCTACCACCAGGGCCCCGGCCGCCCCCGCCCTGGCACTCCCCGCACCACTGCAGTGCATGCACGGCGTTCAACGTGTCGACCTGTGGGATTGCCTCGACGGGGTCACCGAGGCCACCGAGGACGACGTCCGGGCCACCTCGCCGGCGAGCACCGACTCCAGCGGCTACTCCAGTTACGGGTAACGTGTTTTGAACGAAGGCCCCGACGCAATGCGCAATGCGGACTGTGCACGTCATGTCATTTCCTCGTCTCTGTTTTCAGGGACGTCTCCTCGTCTAGCGCCGATTCCGGCGATACCTGGAAAGAGAGAGAGGTTTACGCCTCTCTCAAGTATGAGTCTATGGGAATAGACTGCACTTTTAACTACTGGTCGCCGATTACGGAGGACGACGCCGTCCTCGACGAACTGGTGAGTACTGCCCGCCTTTGCACCTCCCCGATTCCGCTCAGGTTTGAATGAACGAAGTGCCGCCGACGCGTCTGACTTCCCCGTTTCGTTTTGCAGCAGAGCCGCCGCCAGGTCCCGAGTCATCTTTCACGCGACCAGGATCAGGATCAGCTCAAGCAGGCCACCGACCTCGACATAATGTCCGTCGCGGTGAGTGGAGCGCCGCGGCCTCGGCCCCGGGTTCGAGTACCGCCGGAGCCAAGCATTTTCCGTCCCGTTTTTTTTTTCGGTTTCGTAACCAGTGTTTGTATGATTTGGCAGGACGTTGGACCCACTGGAGCGCAGGAGGCCAAGGACGCAAGAGGGTGCTCTGAGCCTGCCTTCCTCCGAGAGGGCACCGCCCAGAACGCACCGTTTGCCGAGAACGACGAATTGCGACGTGCCGCCGTCGTGGCCTCCAACCGGCTGGACTGGGGAGCAGCCTTCTACAGGTGGCTCCCAATGCCGACCCTGGAGGAGGCCGTGAGTACTGTGTGCCTGCAGACTGATTCCGAGAGTCGTTTTCGTCGCTCTGTCTCTCGCTTTCGTGGGGCGTTCCGTCTACGTGCGAGAGAGACAAAGCGACGAAAGCGACTCTCGGAGGCAGTCTGCCGTGTGCGAATACACCCTGTTGGCCGGGGGTAGCGCCACGCCCTCCGCGCCCCGCCGCTGGCTCCAGCCGCGCGGGGTATCTCCGATGACACTAATGGAATTTCCTCTTCTGTGCAGATTCTTCTCGCGCGCATTGCCGAGGCCGAGGAGCTGGAGCTGCGGCGACAGTCGGCTTTGAGGAAAGCGGCGAAGCAAAAGAAATTTGGATCTCGAAGAGAGAACTTCTCGTCAGTTTCTTCGGAACGCCCAGGCCGCAGAGGAGCCTCAACAACTGTCAGCCTCGAATTTCCAGAAGTTTGGAAGAATTTTTAGATGAGATTTTACTCACGGCACGCGCACTTGACATGAAATCATCACATTAATTCACAATCCAATTAATGACTTGCATGATTTTTTTGTTTTGACTCTTATGTAATTTATACGCCGTTTTATTGTATGATTGAGTGACGTTTTTAATCAGGCTCAAAGTCTAAGATATGAATAAATGCTTTTCAATCAATTAAATTTACTATGTTTTTTCCTTACCTGTGTCCTTGGTAATCGGTAGATCAAGACATGATCCTGTCGATGCCCCATGCGTGGAAGTTAGGACTGGCGAGGGGTAGTGACGTGAACCCCTTTATCGGAATCCGGGCAACTATTCCTCTCAGTTCGGACGACCCGTCACGTTTGGTGTCGCACTAGCGAGCGGGGCCTGTCGGGTCCGAAAGGCAAACGATCGTTTGTGGTGTGGTGGTCAGTAGCCGGCAGCAACAGCCTGCGAGTGCTGCATCCCGCCCTGCCGCCGAGCACGAAGGGCTGCCTACCTCGACGGCGGTCGGTTCGTCGTTCGTACTGTACCGCACCGCGCAGTGGCGTGGCGCCCTGTACTTCGCTCCACTCGACAGTGTCGGCGTACAGGGAGCGCACCGCACCGGGTCAACTCTTTTGCCGTTGACTTGACGCCCAACAATGATTTATCCCTGGCGACACGGCCATGGGCCATGGCGGTTGGTGGTGGGGATGATGTAGTGATTGCACAGCCCTGTCTACCACCTGGCCGACACACCGTTCCGTGGGGGGTGGGGGTGGAGGGGGGTGTCAGTATCATACTGTTAGCCAGGGCACCGGGGGCACATGCCGCTTGGAGGAGATAAGTGTAGGGTAAGCGGATTGGATCGGACCACGAGGACGGCGGGGGAGGGGAGGGGGTTGACAGGCTGTCACTGGCGTGATAGCGCGGTGCGCTGTCTGGAGTCCGTGGCCCGAGGCCCCACCCGAGGCTCTGGCCGCGTCTGGGCCGACGTCGGACGCCGGGACGAGCAGCAGACTGATTCCGAGAGTCGTCGCTCTGTCTCTCTCGCACTCACGGGCGTCCGCAATGGGTGCGAGCGAGACAGGGCGACGATGACGACTCTCGGAATCAGTCTGCGGGGTCGGGGCGCGGAACCGCGAGGCCGCGGAGCAAAGACCGCGAAGATGGCGCGCCCACACTGCACACACGACGCGGGCTTATTTGAATCCCCACGGAGTGGTGCACAAACACACTCCGACACCTCGCCGGGCTGTTGGGACAGTGGGGACCGCTTGCAGGACACGCGGAGGGTCCCAGCCAGGTGGGGGTGGGTGGGGGCGGGGGCAGGTGGGTGGAGGTCGCGGCCACGTCACGACGCTGGGTCCGGGGCAGGCCGGGGCAGGGCGGGGCAGGCCGGGGCCCCCGCAGCGGGGAGTACCATTGTCATCTCTGCAGATAGCGCGTCCCCCGGATGAACGATGAATGGTAAACGGGAGGAGGGGGAGAGGGGGGTGGACGCCGCAGGAACCGAACTGGGCGCGCTCCGTTCCGTTCCAGTCCGTTCCAGTGTGCCGGTGGAAGATGTATCGCGGAGCATTATCGACTTCGCTTATCGGACCGCCACCAATAGAGGACCGCACTGTGGTGCGCCACCGTGCCCTCTGTGTGCAGTGCGAGTGTGTGCGTGTAGACGTACCGCTCAGTGTGTGTGTGTGTGTGTGTGTGTGAGGGAGGGAGAATGCGGTGCGTGTGCGACCCTAAAAATCCGTGTGGTTGCCGGTTCGAGGCTGCAGGTGGAAGGGAAGGGCTTCTGCTGCTGGTGTGGTGGGTCTGTTTGCGCGCGCGGGGGTGGCAACCAGTGTAGCCAACGGAAGCGAGTGAGCGCGGGCTGCACTTTGCGCGCGAAACGCGAAACGTGTTTCAACGACTGCCGTGTATATTATGCGAGCGTTCGCCTCACCACTCGTTTGCACATTAAACTAATGGCGGGGAATAACAACTGCACCACCTGCGTCGCGCCCCACGTGTGTGTGTGTGTGTGTGTGTGTGTGTGTGTGTGTGTGGCTTCATTTTGTCCGGCCGCGCACGCTGCACGCTGCGCACGCCATGTGTCACGGCACGTCACGCGGCAGGCCAGGCTGCCAGGCTGCCAGGCGCGGCGAGACGAACAAATGCACGCGTCACGATGGTCACGACGCGGACCGCCAGCCCGCAGTTTGTTTGGCGCCGGCGTCGCCACCGTCACACTGGGAAACTGCCAGAAATGAAACACGGAGTGTATATACACAGTGACGACGGCGCGCTGGCTGTGGGTTCGACTCCCGGCCGTGCCAGTTTTCAGCGCGGACCAGCAGACTGATTCCGAGAGTCGTTTTCGTCGCTCTGTCTCTTCCGTACTTCTACGGAACGCTCCTCGAGTGCGAGAGAGACAGAGCGACGAAAACAACTCTCCGAATCCGCAGGAGGCCCGTCCCGCATCACTGCCGCGTAGAATGGGTTGCCTACTCACGAGGCGTTTCGGCCTCAACCCCGAGTCCCTCGCAGCAGCTGCATCTCGAAAGAAAGACCGCCGGAAAAAGACAGAAATCAACTCAACAGTCGGACATTTCTAGCACGGCCGGAAGTGAACAAGGAGAAGAAGATCGTAGATCGGAAACTGTTCAAGAAATTGGCCTTTTCGGGGATTTTGGCAGGTTTACAACATATTCAATCAGAGAGTTAATCTTTCTTGAATTTTTGGATTGAAAATGAACACATGTCACCAACAAGTAAGCACTATTCGGCATCTGTTTCCCTTTTTCTTCCTCCTCACTCTGGGTTCTGCTAGAAGTGTTTTGTGGAAATGCGTCAAATGCCGCTCGCCGGCCGCTTACTTTCCGCCGTAAGTACACCGCAGAATGTTTTCGAACGGCAGGCGGCGACGCAAAGAACGCCCCAAGTTCATCAACAGCTGATCGGCCGGCCGCAGCCAGGCCGCAGCCCCCCGGCGACGAGCGCCCCGCGCGAGTAAGTCCTGGCCTACGCCACGCCTCCGGGTTGCGGCATCCCCCGGCAGAGGGCGCGACAGTCGGCTCGTCCGTCGGGGAGCGCGGCCGAGAGCAACCCCTCTCTCTCCCTCGCACCGGCAGCGCAGCGCGGGGGAGGAAGAGAGAGGGAGAGGGGCGCGCCGGCCGGTTGGGCCCGACGCCGCGGGCACAGGCGTTGCGTTGCGCCCCGCTCAGTCTTCAGTCTGTGGCGAGCCGGCACCGCGACAACGACAACGCTGCGCTACCCTGCAGGAAGTCTGCGCCAACGTCGAGTCGCGTCTTGCTTCACGCGTCGCCGTGCCGCCAGGAAGCTAGGGGGACCACGTGGTCGCTCCAACGCCCCACCGCCCGGACGCCAAGCAGTGACGCACCCAGTGGCAACCCTAGCCGGGTGGAGGATGGCAACTGTCGGCTGAGACGACCGTCACTCCCGCCTGGACTTGGAACCGCCGGAACCCTTACTGGTGAGTAACGACTGGCCGACGAGTTGTTGTCACAGTTTTGTGACAAAAATTTAACTCATGTCCGGGCCCTAATTGTTAAAAGAAAAATCCCCCCAATAAATCATTTTAAAAACTAAACTCTGTCTCTCTTTCCTCTTGAATGGCCGTTCGGTTCGCCCGGCGTGCCTGGTCAAGCTTTCCGTCTCCTTTCACGGTTTGGCGCCAACAGGTGCCGCCTTGCCCGCCTTGCCGCCGACTCGCTTCGCTGTCGACAGCGGTTCACAGTCAAAATGGCCGCGTTGTTGTTGTTGTTCGGGGCGGACGCACGCAAATCAACCCCCGTCCAACGCACCCGCCGCGCTATTTTCATTTCAAAGGGCCGCGGAGAGCCGCGCCAAAAATGGAAATTCCTGGAAAATGTAAATTTGAATGTCGGCGGATGGCCGTTTGCCGTGCGAACGCGAATCCGCCCGGTCAGCCCCCCCCCCCCCCCCCCCCGCAGCGCCGCGCTGCAATGTGCTCGATGTTGGTATCGACGCAGTGGACCGTCAAATTAGCACCGGAATGCGTCCGCCGCGAAATGAAGAGCCAGGCCCGGCTCGGCTCGGCGCACCGGAACCGGCCGGCCGTTGAGTTCCCCGCGGCCAGCGGCATGGCCGAGGCCGTGGCCGTGCCAGGCCTGAATTGATTCCGAATGGAGCCCGCGGGCTGAGTCCCAACACCGTTTCGTCGCTCTGTCTCTCTCCGTTTCCCGCGGGGTGCACCAAGAGTGCGAGAGAGACAGAACGACGACGGGGGAGTCAGCCTACAAGGGGAACCGACAGACGACGCCGGTGCAAGGTGGGACAGAAGACCAGTGAAGGCAATTCTGGACGCAAAATTCTGGATTGCTCTCCGAACGAGGAATTCATTGGTGGGGTCACACGTTCGGTTCGAGTCTGTTAAGCGTCTGTGGAGCTCTAAACGCGTCTAGGATTTTGGCCGCCTTCACCGGTCTTCTGGCCCACTGTGCGGCGCTACCCCGCGCGCGCTTGCGGCTGGCGCTGGGCGTCCCTGGTGCGCGGGGTAGCGCCGGCGGCTGGGCCGTCATCGTTCCGCGGTCAGACCGCTGGCAGCGAGCGCGCTGATTGGCGAGGTGGCGGGTTCGATTACTGGCGCTGCTGCTCGTTTTGCAGCCGGCGGTTCAGCCATCGGGTTGCATCTGGGGCAGTGTTGCCACCCTAGTGGGCAAAAAATCACACGATGCACCAGTGTGGCAAGGGTTGCCAACCTCAGCCTGCCTATAGGCAACTTCTCGAGAACAACGCGCAGATGTTTGTTACCTCAGTAGACAGGGCGAGGTTGGCAACCCTTGTCGGGTGGAAACTTTTTGCCCGCTTGTGTGGCTACGTACACTGCTGTAGGATGGGACTGGCCCACGCCCCTCGCTGCCGCGGCCGGCGGGCTGCCTACCTCCACGTTACGCAACTCGGCATTCGAAGCCCAAAAAAGATGGAAGCTTGTTAGCTGCTTGTTTCCTGGGGCATCGGAACTGATTTGGACCAAGTCCTCGCGATAAGGACGATGGGAGGGCGGAGGGGCCGGAAGGGTGGCGAGGAAGGGCAGGGCGCGGCGGGAACTGGCGGGAAATCCCTTTTGCAGCCCTGCAGCCGATAATTGGTAGGAAGGGGCAGGGCGGCCCCGGCCGCTCCAAGGAGCTCCAAGGAGCAGGCGGACGAACTGCCGCCA